ATTTCATAGGGTAGAACATGCCGACCCTATATCAGTAAATTTAAAATTCTGTTTTTGGATTCCTTTACCAGCTACAGTTCCAAATTGCCTTTCCTTCCTGCCCCCCTCACTCTGCATAACTACTGTCCCCCAGAGTGTTGAGAAACCAGTTAAGTAGGTGCCAGAATCTATTTGGACTTCGTTAGTTTTTGCAGGGTCCACTTGGAAATGTGTATTGAAGCTAGAGTTCCAACCCGTACACAGAGAATCTAGGTAAGAATTTCATAGGTAAAAGACAAGGCTGGGGGCTTCCCTGATGGCGCAGTGGTTGAGAGTCCGCCTGCCGGTGCAGGGGACACGGGTTCGTGCCCCGGTCCGGGAGGATCGCACATGCCGCGGAGCGGCTGGGCCCGTGAGCCATGGCCGCTGGGCCTGCACGTCCGGAGCCTGTGCTGCGCAACGGGAGAGGCCACAGCAGTGAGAGGCCCGCGTACCGCGAAAAAAAACAAAAACAAACAAAAAGACAAGGCTGGGAACCATCACAGTATCTGATAGAGCAGGACATAACTGCCTAAAACCTAGGCAAGGGACTCCTATCTGGTCATTTCCACTTTGATTCATTCCCATCTGGTGCTGCATCGAGATTATTTTCCTTTTACCAACTCACCAGGGATACACCCTTAGAACTTTGTCAGAATGGTCATTTGTATACAAAGTACAGCTAGAGGGAGCACAGGAAGCCCTCCATGGGAAAACAGATACACATTTTTATCATAAAGATGTGTCCAAGGGAAGGGAAGGCTCTCCTTGTCACTGAGACTCAGGAAACGGAAAAGGAAGCAGTAAGGCTCTGTTCCAGCCCATCAGCTGCATCCATCACGGTTTCTCTCCTGCGGAATCAAAGCTGTTTCTGAAAGTCGAGCACTTCTGCATTCGTCTGGCTTTTGCTTCCTTCTGCATGACTCGCTGGCTAATCATAGCAGTTTACATGTGCAGTATCGTACACTTTCTAGAGTTTGCTGTGCTGTTACTGCCAGCTAACACCAGGACTACTCGTTAACCGCACTTAACTGTTGGCAGGGGTGTCCTCCCTCCATGGAATGGCGTGGAGATGCAGCTGAAGAGTTACAGCAGCTGTTTATTAGGCCACCTGTGGACTCGATGAAAGACTTTAAATACTGATTCTTATTTTTGTCCTAAAAAGAGCGATAGGTAGAAGGCAGTATTTGATATGGGTATAGAATTGGCCAAAAAGGGAAATATGGAAATAGAAAATCAGATAACACAGACTTCTTTTGGAATTTACTTTTTGTCAATTTCTGTAGGCCCCCTCCTTTTTAAAAACCACATTTTCTTTCTGTCTTTGCGGTTAAGCCGTGAGATAAAGGAGGGTTGATGGCATCAAATTTTCATATCTGGAATTTGACAATGAGAGTGGGGCTAACATGAATTGAACGCAGAATAGCTTTAAGCCGTTGCATTTCACTTAAACTGATGTTAAAACGTGACTTTAGGAAGTGTTTACGTTTATTTCCTTTCTCGATTTATAGTCTAAGGAAAGGAACTTACAGAAAAAGATCTGGCTTATGTGCTCCGGATATTAAGGTTCTGTATTGTTTGACTTTTTAAAGCACTGTTAAATTCTCCCTCCTGATTTTCTTCTTCCAGTTTTCTGCTTGCTGCCACCTCTAGGAGAAAGGGGCAAGGCCATCGAAGAGCCATATATATGTTTTAAATCTGGCCGCCCATCAAAATAAATGGAAACTGAACCAAACATAGCAGCAGCCTGTTTTGGTCATTGTAAAACAATTTCAAAAATTGCCGTGTACTCTAGCATCCAGTTTTTTTCTTCTGATGATAAGCTTTTCACGTGTAAGAGGAAAATCCCATCTGTGTCATACAATAGGGAGGTTTGGATGGTTGTTTCTTGCCTTTCTTATTAGAAATTGAGGGAAAAGTGAGGAGGCCAGCAAAGCCCCATTACTTGAGAGTCTACCTGTGTTCCCACCTGAATTTGGAATTGCTGTATTTAGTAACAGTAGTAGCCACCCTGAATCTGCTTTTCTGTTTCTAACTTGGGCCATTGCGGTTTAGACAGGCAAGCTGAAACCATGGAGGTGTTGGCTAAAGAAAACACCAAGCAGAACTTTTCTTCCCTGGGCCGAGACCTCTTCTGCAACAGCCTGCTTGGTCATCTTGCCATCAGTGGCATGTTATAAAGACGTCCAAAGCCCAGAAATTCTCGAGGGCCTAAATTTAGCATGGCTATCAGATAGCTGGAGCAAGTGTACCAGAAATCTAGGGGCAGCACACCATTTCTCCCCCTTTCCTCTGGTGTTCTCGTTCCTGTTGTAGCAACACGGGAATGGCTTTGGCTTCTCTTAAATCGTGCTTTATTCCTGCAGTACACCTGCTCCGAAGGCATGGACAGCTTTACAGAGGGGCTTGAAAGCTGCTGGGCTCAGTTTGAATAACTGGTCTCTACGGAGGCCACCCCCTCGCCCCAGGACTGCTTCGCCCTGGGCTCTCTTGTCTTCCCCGAGGGAGCGGGTCAGGAGGCTCTGTCTTCACAGGCTCACAGGCTGCGTGGGGGTCAGAGCCTGACCATGTGCTTCCCTGCTCTGCCTTGGCATGCTACCTTGACCCTGAGGCTTGGCAACAGTTTGGAAATGCATGTCAGAACAGTGTCCTATGCGATTACCGTTGCACTTCTTGCCTAATTTTCTTTCCCTTCTGTCTGTAGAAATATTATGGGCTGGATACAAAGTGGGGCGACATCGAGCAATGGATGGTAGGCCTTGAATCTGATTTTTAAAAGCGTAAATGGTTTGTAATTGGATTCTTCCACAGTTTAATTACATGGCTAGATCCCTGTTGCACCCTAATTTGATACTGAGTGATTTCCTGCTGGGCATGCTTGCATCTGGCCTGGTTGTTTACATCCCACGTGAAGCCTGGTTAGAAGGTCCCCTGGCCAGGGCTGGTGTCAGGCCTGTTCAGTAGCAGCTGACTCCTGGAGCTTCCAGGCCAGCGTTTGTGAGGGTCTCCACCCCGACCATGACCCCGATCTCCTCTGCAGTGGACTCCCCACTGGGGACACTCAGGCTGGGCATGTGGCCCTAGCGCGAGAACCTTCCCACGAGCATCCGGTCCAGCCAGCTCTAGTTGCCGGTCACCCCATTCTGACCTCTATACTTCGCTGCTGGGAACCCCCCCCCCTGCAACCTCACCTGCTGTGCCTGAGAAACCACTGTCCTCTGGTGAGAAAATTCCTTTACCTTCTCACCCTGTTTCCTGGCACGACTTGGCTGTCCTCCTTAGTCGGTTAAAAGCTGGCCCGCCCCTCACGATACCCCTGTCCTTACGACCCTCCCAGGGGGAGATCTTGCCCCCTGGCGGGAGGTTCTAGAAGAGGGGGGATTCCAAGAGCTGTCCACTGGTCCCGAGGGAGCACGGCTTCATGCCTCCTGTCATGAATTCATCCACCTGAGTGCTCCCCACCTCTTCCTGTCCTTGTCACCTTGCTGACTGGCCTCATGGACATCATCCCATACCTATAGCATTTGAGAACCTGACCAGTATGGAACTGTCCTATTAGATGTCCCTTACACATAAAATAATCTAAGGGAGTATAAAATTACCTAACATTTAGAGATCTGTGTATAATATAAAAGAAAACAGTTGATGAAATATAAAGAGCACACAGTTCCTCTATTTAAAAAATTATTAACTTCAGCCTCTGTTATGTGTAAACCATCATTCTAAGTTTATTTGGCACAGGCAGGTGTATGTTTATCAAATCGTAAGACACAGTTAAAAGATGTGTCAGTGTTTTATATACCACTGAGAAAGAAAAAAAAAAGTTGCTAATTATAATCGTGAGCAACTTTGATGATAAGATATGCGCCAACTTCAGAGACGTCCAAGTGCAAAATGGAGCACCTTGGAATGCACAAAATATAGTAGATAGGGCGGCATCCGTACTGGATCTCTTAGGAAAATGATTTCTCTTCCGATTCCTGAAGAGAAGTGAGTAAGGTTTTGAATGTAAGAAGAAAAGTAGGCTGATTTAAATGGACCACATTCGATTCGGAAAAAATTAAGACCCTGCTTTTCACCCAACACGCACTTGCTTTTAAAGCCAAAATGAAATATGCCGATTCTTTGTGTGCTTAAGCCCCCCCACCCACTTTTAGAAGAAAACATTTTCCCCCAGTGGTTTAATTGAAGCCTTTAAGCAAAAGCAAAGAAAATGTTTGTTTGACATTTGTATCAGAAATACTGTATTACGGAGTATCTGAGCCTTCGCCTGTGTCTGCCCTAACCTCTCTCTGCTGTTTCCTCCGTTGCTTTGGTAGGAAGACAGTGAGCGCTACTCCCGTAGATCCAGAAGAAACACGTCGGTTAGTACTGTGTTTGTTCATTACCTCGGCGTTTTGACTCAAGTCTGATTTGCAGTTTTAATGGCTGAAATACATAAATTGTCTCTCTATCCATCTATCTATATGTATATACACCTATCTATAGATCTGTATCTATATCTATATCTTAATGATACTTATGAAAGAAATTAACTAACACTGATACTGTTACCTAAACAAAGACTGTGAACTCAGCTTTTAGCATTGTGACCTGACTTTGGTGAGGCGAGAGTGAGGGTTTGAAAATTTTCTGAGTTTCATGACAGTTTTAGTGCTTTTTTCGCTATTGAATACCCATGAATAATTTGCAGAGTAATGGGCATTAAGCTACATGTTTGTAGGTTACCAGCGAAGTGAACAGCATCGCTGTAGTGCAATTAAAGTCGTGTTATCCAGAAACAGTCTTCTGTTAAGCAGAGGTGCACAAACAAAGCCCTTTTGGCGAAAACCCAGGCTCACGTGCACTGAGATTTTCAGAGGGGCCTGATCTGCCCCCCTGCCATGTGTCGGGTCAGCCGCTTCCCTCAGAGCTGGCCACTGGTTTCTCTGTGTCTGTTACATCATCGCCTCATGGTTGTTTTCATCCTTTCTTTTTACTAGGCGTCTGATGAAGATGATCGCGTGTCAGCGGGTAGCCGCGGAAGTCTGAGGGTCAGTAACCAGATGGTTGAGTTTGCATGGTACAGTCTGTGTCCACGCTCCTGGCCCTTCCATCCCTGCGTTCAAAGTTCTTGTTCATTATCCCTGTAGCCTCTGTTCAATGGTGGGATGTCTCCTTGTGATGTAGAGAGATTAGTGATAAGCGTAAGCAGTTTTGTTGTGTCTTTCTCCCCAGAGTGGAAGTCCTCCTTTCTTCATGTTGGTCCACATCACAAAACTGCCCCATTTAGAGTAAGTTGCCTCATTGCTAGCGTGGTGAAGGGGAGCACGAAGGCTCGTTCTGTCCTAATGGAAGTGCACAAGCTCCCCAGCAAATTGGAATCTCAGTTAAAGTAACTACAAGTTAAAGGAGCTTATTATTCAGTGATGCTTCCCATAGCTCCTTGAAAGCTGCTGTAGGCTGCGGGTGGAACACCAGGGCACATTGAATCTGTCCAGCCTGGGGCTTCAGGAGCCTTTCCTTTCATCAACTATAATGAAATCTCTTCATCACTGACAGCCTGATGGTTGATAAACACAGATACACATTTTTCCTTAAACATTCCAAAAATCTTCATAGTTATACTTGAAAACAAGGCATGCTTTGGGAAGTGAAGTAGAGAAAAACGTGTTTTGCTTAGTCCTTTAAGTCAGTGAATTAATCTGAGCGTGTCAGTGTAATTTACCCCTGGATTAAAGCTGCATCTCTCTGCTGGTAATAATTCGGTCTCAACGCAGCCACTCCATTTTAACGGAAGGACTGTATGGGGCAGAAGCCTTGTTTTCAATCACCGTGGCGATTAAATCATGATGTAACTCCTAGCCTTCTTATATGCGCACCAAATGTACATTTAATTTAGCTGTTTATAACAATAAACTATAAAGGTGATACAGTCAGCCTTCCATATACCCAAGGTTCTGCATGATTCAACCAATCACGGATTAAAAGTATTCGGAGGGAAAAATTCCAGAAAGTTCCATACAGCAAAACTTGAACTGGCAACTATTTACATAGCATTTTACATTGTGTTTACAACTATTCATGTAGCATTTACATTGTATTAGGTATTACAGGTAATCTAGAGATGACTGAATGCGCACAGGAGGGTGTGCGTAGGTCGTAGGCAAATTCTGCGCCGTGTTATATAAGGGACTTGAGCATCTGCAGATTCTGGTATCTGGGGGGTCCTGGGACCACCCCCCCGCAGGTACCGAAGGATGGCCGTACACTGTTGCTTTGCTGTTAACAACTGTCATTGGCCTGAAGCTGCCCAAGGCATATCCATCATGGTTTTGCTGGAAAGTTACGGTTCAAAGGTGAAGTCAGTTAAAGAGCTTCCTTGCTATTTGAAACTTTCTCCTTAGCCATGTAGCTGTAACTTCCTCACATACCCTCTGACATGATTCACGCAAGAGGAAGTAAGATGTATGTAACCTAAACATTATCAATGCAAAACTCAGTTTGCAGAATCTGTAGACAAGGGTCGGAAATTACAGCAGTCCAGCAGGTGCAGGAGAAGGTCGGGTCCTTGAAACCAAGTGAAGAAGATACCTTTTCAAGGAGAAGGGGCGTGATCATGTGAGCACAGGACTCACATGACCATTGGCCAAGACGTTGGTGGGCTTGACAAGGGCACTTTTGATGGAAATAGTGAGGGCAAAACCTGACTGTTTGGGGCTCAAGAGAGAATAGGAGAGAGACTGGAGAAAGACCCCAAACTCTCTTTCAAAACAGCATTTTCCATCTGCGATCCTCCTTGAAATTGTATTCAAGATTTTGTTTGTACTTGCATTTTTCTGGGAAAATAATCTGTCACTTTCTCAAGATTCTCAGAGCCGATCCCAAAGAGCTTAAAACTATTGTATCATTAGTGGTTGTTTGGGTGTTTATAGCATTTATTTCATTTTCAACGATTCTAACCAGAAATGAGCTAAATTTCTGTGCCGGACACCATTCTTTGCCAAGATACAAGCCTATTTGTTTTAGGATATAAAAGTTTATGGAGGAGCCCCACAATTAGGGTGCTAAGTAAGAGACGGGGGGAAGGTGGAAAGTCAGCAGTGGATGGGTTTTCGTCGCTAGCCGGGTGGCGTGCTCCCCTGCTCTTTCCCGTGACGCACTTGATCTAAAGAAACAACTCTCGTTAAAAATCACAGACCTTGAGAACTTGGATCCTGGGGATAAGAGTCAAACCTTCTAATTTTTACAGACACAGAACAAGCCCAGAGCAGCGAGGGGGCCTGCTCAGGGCCAGGGTGCTGTGACAGCATCAATCCCAAAGCCCCTCGGGGGCCCGGAAGTGGCCTCTCCTGGTTGGTGGGCGGGCAGGGTTCCCCACTGCGCCTCCCCCGCCAGGGGGGCTCATCTCAGGCCATCAATGCGTAGGGCCAGTTTCTGCTGTTTTTCATATTTTAATATTTGGAAATCTTTCGTTTGCAAAGTTCAAAGACCCTATCTTTTTTTTTTTTTTTTTTTTTGCGGTACGCGGGCCTCTCACTGCTGTGGCCTCTCCCGTTGCGGAGCACAGGCTCCGGACGCGCAGGCTCAGCGGCCATGGCTCACGGGCCCAGCCGCTCCGCGGCATGTGGGATCCTCCCGGACCGGGGGAAGAACCCGCGTCCCCTGCACCGGCAGGCAGACTCTCAACCACTGCGCCACCAGGGAAGCCCAAAGACCCTATCTTTTATCTCTTGACTTTCTCAAAATACAGGCCTTCTTCACTCCACTGACAGTGATGATAAACCCTTAAAAACGGAAGAAATTTTTTTTTCTAGCGTTTGTATGGACATTCTCAGAAAACCTAGATTTAGATATCATAAGTACTTAATTTTCTCTACTTAAAAATTGAGAGTGACACATCTGTTGACCTTTTGCCTAATATAAATAGAATGCTTCAGGTAGAGGAGGAGAAAGGATTGCTCAGACTGCTTCAGATTCCATGAATTAGGGCAACAGCTGCCATAGAAGTTTCATTTCATGCTAATGGATTTTATGGTAATGCTAATGTAATTGCGTTTGTAAATACATACGAGACCCTAGAAGTCATGAAAATAGTTGAATTTCATTAAGATTTTCGAGATTGCCTGTTTTTTGTTTTATGTTTCTGTTATGCCTTCGGTAGCTTTTTAATTGATTTTGGGCAACTCTTTTGTGTTGTTTTTCTCTTCCATCCCACCTCTGACAGTCGCAGCCTGACTTGGAGTACGGGGGTCCCTACGCTTGGGTGAGATGAACATGTGGCCTGATCCTAATAGTGTTGCGTGGGAGATAATAATCTGTGGCGTTTCCACTAATCTCATGAGCGTTTGTACACCTTTGTTTTAAAAGACACACATGCCACGCACCTGTTCTTACCTGGGGACTGAGAGCCGGAGGGCAGGTGCACACACCACAGTGAGCTCTCTTCTTCCCAGAGCCTCCTGGGTACAGCTCTGACCCTCATGGGTGGGTCTGGAACCCAGGTATGGGTGCTTGACCATCTCCCGCACCCGGCGGCCTGTGAGCACCGCTGTCTGCCAGGCTTTGGGGTAGCAGCTGCAGACACCAGATGGGAAAGATGGTGTCTTCTTCAGGGAACTCAAATCAGATCAAGAATTCCCAAGCCTCTACATTTCCTTTAAAAGATTGAATTTAAAGTCATTTTATCTAATGAAAAATTGATTATTTTCTAATCTGTATCCTTTCAAGTTAAATGTCCCAGATGGCTCTTTGGCCAGAAAGTGCTCTTTGAGAAAGACCCCAAATCCAGTAACTAAAACGAAGCCTTTAGATTTAAATTCAGAATTTCCCTCCTTACATCCTTACATCTAGAAGAGTTTGTACGCCTTATGCTTTCTGAAAACCTGTAAACTTAAATTACACTAAAAGGAAGAAAAATGTAATCTCACCAGCATTAATCGCACCCAACATTAAAGTGACTCAGCACTGAAATTATAGCAGATTATACACTTCTTCACTTGAAGGACTTTTTCCAAAAGGATTTTGTGCTTCATTCATTCCACTGCATTGAAAAAATATCTAGCAAACTCCGGTTTTTAAAATATATTTTTACCCTTAAGATGATACTTAACAGGACCGTACATCGGGCACAGCACACTTGTCCCCGGAGTCTCCCGGTGAGGCCGCTGTTCTCCCCTTTCAAACTAAATTGAGTGCATCAAGGATTGCACTTCAAAGCTGTGATTTTGCCTTTCTTATTTTGTTTCCCATCTCTAATGCCCTTGAAGGTGCTCTGTCTTTTGACTCAGTAGAAGAATACCTAAAACTGTTCATGAAAATAATAACAGTTGCGTTTTGCATGGTCACGCATGAAGTTGGTTATGCTTTGACGGCACTGCATGGAGCCGTTAGCATTCTGACTAATTAGAATAATTGGTTTTGATGGGACATTTATTCTTATATCTGACCTAGCCTCTTTTAGAAAATGCTGATTGGTGAATGTCTTTATTTTGTTCTGTCTTGGAGCAGTGCTTCTCAGTGTTACTATATGTAAGATTCACCTGGGGAACTTGTGAAAATGCATGTTCCCGGGCCTCCGGGTATTCCGATGTCCTGGGATGGGAAGCACGCCCCGTGACCAGGATGCAGGTGGTCTGAGGAGTGTTGAAAAACAATTCTGTAAAACAGAGCTGGGTGAACATCCGAGACCTGACTTAAGATGAAGGTGACATATGCCTTCTGTGGACTTTTTATTCTAATGTTGTTACAGTTAATTTTCAACTCTCCTTATTACCCTCTTATGCCACTAAAAACAGCTCCACCCATCTGAATTCAACACAGAAAAACTACGCAAGAGGAGAAAGTTGGTGTGTTATTTAAGAAGGTCACAGTACTTCTCACTACAGAGATGTTGTTGGTGAGGTCTACACATTTGGGAGTACATTGTAGGGATGCGTTCTCTATGACAGAGTTTCATTACAACAGAAAAGTGTGGTTCCACAAAGCCTTCAAAAGAAGGGTTTTTCCTGCATTTTCATGGAAGGCCAGAAGAGAAAGGGACAACTGAAGGAGTGCCTTTGCTCTCCCAACCTTCACCCACCCTCTGCTTTACGCTGCAGGCTGAATGAGAGAATGAGAAGATCAAAAAGGAGAAATCCATCTACAGCAGTATGTATTTTATAAGCAACAGTGGAAAGCCAGAGGCTTTATATATGTAATACATTTTTCTTCCTTATTTATTAGCAAGGGAAGAATCATCTAAAATTGATTGACGTTAGCCTTCAATATTAATTTTTTCCAGAAACTAGCTTCTAAACAGATATCAAAGGAATAAGACTGAGGTCTGAGATATACGAGTCCTTGACATGCAAGATTATTTCTCTCGAGAGAGAAAAAAAGGAAATTAGACTGAATAAAAATTCCTGCCAATCTCCAAAGGTTTTTTTACTAGCAAATTTATTTCAGAAATGTTTTAATATACTCATAGTTTTAAATTTTAATTTTGAAGGATTTCTACATACTCTTTTTCATTTAGAAACTTCGAATAGACTTGCTTTTGAATTGTAACACAAGTAAGTACACAGTTTTATAGTCAGGGTTTCATGAATCTGGATTTATAATCTGCCCGGAAATCCATATATTTATTCTTCATCAACGTCACAGCTGCATAATATGTGCTGAACCGCCTCCCCTCCCCCGAACTTTTAACAAGGAAACGTATCCTGTCCTTCCTCGGTACCAAGCACTTGCCCATACAGACAGCACTGATCTGGGCACTCATTCTAATCAGCTTTAATCCTCACAATGGCCTTGTAAAGTATTTATTACCATGCACGTTTTCACAGCCAAGGAGGTAGAGAGGTTCCAGTGGATTAAATTAACTTGCCTAAAGTCATATGACAAAGCTTCTACTTGGAATCTGGACTCAGGTCCATGATCCCCTGACATCTCCTTCCATTTTTAGCAGTTGTGGGGACTGCTCCTCCTTTTTCTGTCTCAGGAGCTGGTTATGTCCCTGACACTTGGCAGCTCTTATCTTGAATCAGCGGAAATTTCCTTATAGATGAATGAGAGCAGTTCTAGAGCCCCAGCTTTGGCTGGGAATTGGGAAGAGAAGGAGGACAGGCATATGCTTAACTTAATCATTCTCTTTTTTTCTGGAGAACAAATTATGAACTCATAAAATATGTGCTCAGATTTCACTTTGAAAAATAAAGTAGGAGGACTGGATGAATGAAAAACTGATAGAGAGGATATACTGCCACGATAGACATTTTTTCCATGATGAACGTTTGCATTTAATTATAAATTGAGTAGAAGCTCTCTCCAAATCTTCTGAATACAGCTTCATAATGAGCCGTGGTTTTTAAGGACTTCATGCTGAACCAAGAACGCAAGACGAATTGACTCAGGTGGAAGTCATCAGCCCACGTTGCCTGACATCCAGGCTCCTCACAGGCTGGGATTCCCGCATCATCAGCCCAAAACGGGAACCAAAAGCTGCCGAGGAAATCAAGTGCACCCAGGCCCATGCGCCTCCCTCCATGGGGACCTGGCATTTCCTCCCGCCCCCGAGTGAGTGCCCCGTAGTCACCAGTGACACCAAGAGGGTGATGTGATCCGCTGACGGGGCTGGTTTCTCCTGAGGTGTAGTCGAGCAGATCAGGAGCGTGGAGGCAGCGGGGGGCCTGCCGGGATGTGTGCTACCCTGGCCGTGTCCATCCGCCCCACTCCAAAAACTCACCTTGTACCCGGCTAATTCTTCCCTGCTCATCTGTACCTGTGTCTGCATTTGTACACTGATGTCCGTTTTTCTCCTTTTCTTCACTGAAACAGACAAATGGTTACGATGGAGAATTATATGGATCACAGTCCCTGAACAGAAGATCTGGCAGGGTTAGTAAATTTGCATGACGCAAAATTCAAACAGGTTGCTGCAAAGCTTTTTTAAAATATCACTAAATTTAGCTTCTTTGGTTATTGTCTGTGTTATAGTAGTTCTGTGTGTGTGTGTGTGCATGATAGAATGAAAGCTAATGTTTTTCAGTTGGTTAGCAATGTTAGACTGTTCGTCTTCTAACATTCTAAGTGTTAAGGTAAGAGATCGACATTGAAAGGACTCTCTTAGGTATTAAAAGGTCGAATTAAGTACTAGCTCCTTCATTATTTTATTGCCCTGGGTGTATGTGTGTAATGTGCATATGAAGTGTATTCCACTCTCAAACATACTTAAATTCAACATTTCCACTGTTGCGCACCTCTCTCATTTGTAATTTCAACGACACATACCCTAGAGCCTGTGTTTTGCTGACCACTGATATGCTCGCAGTACTCATAGCTCCAGGGTAGGAAGCAGAAGACGAGCTGAGGGATGCTGTGGGGGGTGGGGGCGGGGCAGAGAAGAAGAAATGAACCAATAGCAGGGCAGCCAGGAAGAAGTGGGGGAGGTCTCAGGGTTTATACCAAGGAAGTCATTGGGGATTTCAGGTGGTTAAACCAGATAACATTTTAATTCAGTTTCTTGACCTGCCGCAGATTTCTTATACATTAAATTATCTAAAATCTTCCTGTTCCTGCATTTGCTTCGTTTATTTTCTTGTAGTAATACATTTTACTAGCTGTATAAAACAGTATTTCTTTTCATTTGCCTTAATTATATTAAGCAATATCATATATACGTTTAAATTATATTTTCAGGTTTCAAAGGGGTAACGGGACACCCTCTTAGCGTTCTGAAACTGGCTAGTCAGGTTTTACCTTCTCGTTCCTATGAAGGATTGCATACACTTCTGTTTCAGCTAAGCTTTTCTCATTCCAAACTAAAAAATCCTCCCAGTTTAAAGGCCGTGTCTTCCTATTTATGTTGCCTTTTGCACTGACAGCCTTTGGACTTTCTCAAGCTCTGTCATGTTTCTCTTTAAGGTAATACAGCACTCTGGGGACAGAAGCAAGCGACATCCATTCAGTTCTTATAGGATGTTGACAGTTTTGCTTCCTGTGCTCAGCATCCCTGAGGGCTGTTCAGTGCTGGCTTTATAGGAAGGGGCTCTGATGGCTTCCCACTGCTTGTTGGGGTTAAATTGACTAGTTAGTAACTTTTCACCCTAGATGCATAGTTTCACCACATCGATCACAAAGAATCAGAGTTGGAAGTTACTTTAGAAGCTCTTTAGTCCAACTTCTACCCAATATTACGTCCTTCTCTAGAGCATCCCAAACATGTAGTCGCCAGCATGTTTGTGACCATACAAGGTGGCATCAAGCTTTACGTCGTACGTATCTCCATATATTTTAATCTTTGATTTTTACGTTGAAACGGTAGAAGTGTGCCTTATGATTTAGTTAAGAGTAAGTACTGCCTCTAGAAATCAGATACAAAAGAACTTGATTATAAAACTGTTCACCATAGAGTGAAACTGGATATAAAATTGATTTAATAAATAATCGAGAAATACTGGCTTGGCCAAAAAGTTCGTTCGGGTCACAAAAACCCAAACAGACTTTTTGGCTAACCCCATATAATGATTGAAGGACCAAGTAACGTACTTCTAATGTAGCATCTTATATAGGAGCAGAAAACTCCAGGAACAGTGTAGGGATGGGCTTGGAGAAAAATTGGATGGGAATGAGAAATTTCATAGACGTCAGAAGTACCAGTCTGTGGGCAGGAACAGGATGGCCAGACTGATGGTGTTTGTTTCCTCCCTGGAGCCTCGGGGCTGAGCTGCAGCCCTCAGACGTGCTGGGCTGAGGAAAGAGTGAAAATCGTGCAGTACATGGAATTTTAGTTACCTAAGAAGAGATGTCATATGGAAAGTCTAGACTAAGGTTATAGATGGCCCACCATGAGATTTAGTAAGGAATTACAGATAATAATAGCTAAATTTAAATATAAGTAGTTAAATAATGATAATAGTTAAATCACACGACCTCACTGAGATATAAACACTGAAAAGTAAAACACAGCTTAGAACCCCTAGTGGTTAAGAGTTTCTGCTGTAGTAGCGGGTATCAGTTCTCTAGCTGCCTCTGCATTCCTGGAGTACTAATACTGGTTTGGTTGTGTCATTCCATATTTGCCTTTTGACCGGGTGGTGCTTTGGGGAGAGGAAGGAAGTGCTCATCACTTACCTTGTCTTCTTTGCTGCTCAGAATTCCAGCTACAGCGGTGACAGCAGATTCTCTACTTTGTCATCATCCAGAGAGGACACCTTGGTTGGTTTCCATTTAAATCTTTCACATCCTCTCTGCAGAAACTACAGGTTTTGTAGCATGCAATCCCATATGTGTAAATTCCACTCTCTTTTCTCTTTGAATGTCTATTTTATGAAGTTTCATTTGGATAACTGTTAAAAGTCCATTTTGGGGTGGTAATTAACATGATATATTTAATTTGGATTTAGCCCACTCTCTTGCATTTGAATTCAGATTCAAATGTTTGAATACAAATTGTGGTGTGGAGTTAGGTACGGTGAAAGAAAGTATGTGGCTGTTTAGTAGTTGGAATTAATCAAAAGGGAAAGAAGAAAGCCCTGAAATTCTTTCCTTGAGAATTCTTGAAAGCAGAATTACTTTGCAGGGTACATGCATACTTGGGGCAATTTCACAAGGATGGAATAGACTTGGAATGAAAATCAAATCAAATCCAAACGTCCACACAATAACGTTCCTTCCCGTACTTTAAGAACATACACCAATCTTGATAGGCAAATATTTCTCAATTATTTAAGAGCCCTAATAGGTAAGGCTTGTTTATCCTACCTAGGTGAGATTTGTATTCACTCAGCAAACATAAGGGAACTAGTTTAGGTAGGGAAGTCACAGAGACAAGCAGGTGAGTTAGGTCCTCCGGAAGCATTTACTTGTAAAACAGAAGACAGACACCCCCCCCCCCCCGCCCCCTGCCCCTCGCACTAGTGCAGAAACTGATTTTGCCAGGAAGTGTCATAACAAAGAATGTCAACTGAATCTTAAAGAATACGTAGGGGAAAAGAAAGAATAAATAGAAACTAGCCAGGTAGAGCCACAGTAGTCTAACCCTAGTCCTTCCGTCGTCCTCACCCCTGTCGTGCCTCAGCCCCGCCCCCAACTTTCTACTCCTGCTGCGTGGGGAGGGCGGAAGGGGGCGTTCCAGACACTGCCGCAGCTTCTCCCTCTCTCCATCAGCTTGCCCACGCCCCAAACCCCCACCGCTGCCCCCCATAATAATAAATACTCCAACCCTTCCTTCCCCTAGTATGTGAACTCTGACAATATAAGATCAACTGTGAGCACCAAAGGATTGGTGGGTTTTGACACCTTGAGTTTTTTGTGTATTGTGTGCATTTTCTTAATTCAGCGGGAGATTTTGCTGTTGAAAAGAGCACTTCGTCATTCAGAAAACTTTACTTCCAAGCTTAGATACTTTCTGTAAAATAGAACATGGTGTTAGTTATCTAATACTTGGATGTGAATTATTCACCAAAATTAATTGACAAAATGGCTTCTACCCAGGGCATTCTCCCAACCACTGGAACAAGTTTCGGGGTTTGTGTTAAAATATTAGAAACTTTCTCCCTGCGCACCCCAGGATTCCACTTGCCTGCCCCTCAGGTCATTCTGGTGCACCTGATCCGAGGCATAGGAACGATAGGCACAAGTTACGGGATCTCGAAAGGATGGGGAAATGTCTTAGGGTGCCACCAAGTTACCTGAACAGAACTACTTCATCCCCTTCAAGGGCTGCCCTGGGTTTGTGTAACCAGTAGAATACTGCTGACATGGAAATCTGGAACAGCTAGCCTCCTCTTCAAGGGTCCTTTAATGTGGATAGGACATTTTATTTGGGGAAACCGCTAATTTATATAGTAGTACTCCCCAGAAATCTCGTATAGACTGTTGGTCTCAGAAATGTACCACTGAATCTATCATGTCTTCTGTGAATCCTGAACACATGCGCATTGTGTAAATACCTAACCAAGCCCAAGATCATCTCCAGTGAAATATTTTATTACGTAGAATAGAGGTTACTATCTCTGCAAATTCCTGATTTTGAGTTTTTCCCACCAAACTGTAAAAATTAGAATTTGCTTTAGAAAGACCTTCAAAATCCCACTGACCTTGCTATCAATTCAAATTAATGAAACCTGTTTTTTGCCTGTGTGTAGACTCACAAGTCCTAATTTAGTCCCAGGTGATAGTTCTGTCAGTTAACTGGACTGCCTTATTTCCTTCCCCTCATTCTCTCTTCCCTGCAAGTGCATGTCCTTTACCCATCTTGTTGCAGAAGTCAATTTTGTGTGAATTGATGATGCCTTTGAGATGAAATAAAGCTGTGAGCCTTTTTCCCCTCCGGCCCGTTTTCTCTGATTACAGGGACTTTCCTGCTCCGACTTCGGGCTTCTCAGTCGTGGCCTTGCTCCCAGACCCGTGTCTGCCCAGAATGGAAACCGGGTCTGTCCTCCTCCTTTTCACATCATTCTTCCCTCTTCTTTCCTTCTGTTGTCACTTGAATTGCTGATTAAATGGACGTGGATACTTCAACCTCTTCCACGTGAAGTCCAAAGAGCAAAGCTTAGTAGATGTTTCAATTGGCTTGACTAACTGGCTAAGACTTTCCTCATCCTTTTAAAGCAAATCAAAAATAGTTTAAGACCTTATAATTTTTTTAAAAAAGGAGTTTAGGAAAAAGGAGGCTCTATTAAATGTATACTTTCAAAAGCTCAAGTCCAAAAAATTGGTCTCTTGGGTCTCTCCTCCTTTTCCAGCAATTGTTCCCCATTTGGGGTTTCCTTTGTTTTTTAAAAACACATTTTTTTCTCCTGTAAATGTATCCAGGAAGCAATTTGGAAGGCTTTTGTGCATAATCTAACTCCTCCGTCTTGGAAAGTGGGGAGAACGGCGTTCTCAGCTGTGTTTCCTGTTTATACAAGGCCGTCCCCGAGGTGCTTGGCCTTTTTGGCTCCAGGTATAGGAGTCCTGCTCTCGTAGGAGGAGGTCGGAGGCCGAGCTCCAAGAACACATCACGTTATGGAGGTTGAACTGCCATCTCCCTGCATTGTCGTGTCCCTTGGTGTTGCTGAGTGATTCATCCTTGTTCCTGCATGTTCCCCGACCAGCTCGTGGGCCCCCTGCCCTGGGCTCTCCGTGGCCTCTGCCGGTAAACAGGTTATGATGCTCTTCGGAGGTGAGGCTCAGGTCACACGAGCGAGCTGCCCTTGTGTTCCAGCACACCCCGCACAGGCTCTGTCTCCGTTCGGGTGTGGGTTCCCCTGTGCCAGAGACATGCCAGCCCTGGGCAGCTGCAGCCCCTCTACAGCTCCTTTGTATCTTGGAGACTGTCGCTGGGATCCTCTGATAGAAGCAAACAGGCTCTTCCTGCCGCACTGTTCCTGTGTATTAACACCCCCAAGTGCTTTCTTCACCTGGGATTTTGAGTCGTGGGTTTGGGCTCTTGCTGGTGTCGTTGACGTTGTCACCATTCTGTCTCGCTCCCCGACCCTTTCTTCTAGGAATGCCTGAAAAGAGAGGCCCAGAAAATAGCCATATTTCAGAGGTTCTGGGGAAGTTCACTGTTTTTAAAGTTAGAAATCATCTCATGTTTATTTTCCTTGTAAATGTGGATTTCCATCTATCAGAGTTATTGAAGGCATGGTGCCTTTGTGGACTTCTTTTCCTTATAACAGTTGTACAATAACTTGGCTGTCATGATCACCAAAAGCATCATGATTACCTTGTCACTATTATTTGTTGCTGTTTTTTCAAGGGTTTAAAAACCTGCCATTTGCTTTCATCCTCCAGCCCTCCTATATGTACGGCGCTGCCCGGCCGGCTGGGAGTTACCGGGTGCGTGTGCTTCCCACAACCCCTTGCCCGCTTCTGCCCATACCGCCCGTTCCCCCCCCCCCCCCCTGCCTAACCCCCCCCCCCCCCCCCCGCCACGGCCCCTCAGCATGCACGCGTGCCTCTCCCCCACCGAACACCTGCTCTGAGTGCGGTGGACTTAACCTGTTTGCAACCCTTCTGGGGGTGAATTACCCCTTTATGTGGAGCTTACACTTGCAGCCCCCTTTGGCCAGATCTGGGGTTTATTTCTCCCGACAGTTGACAGTAGCTGGGGAAGACACGTGTTTGTATAGGATTGTTAGGCAGAAATAAAGTATTGGCAACATTTACTTAATCTATTGGCAAAAAGAAAGATAGGTTTTTATTGCTTTGGTAACCTTAACAGATATTAATCCATTATGTTATATTATCTTGGAAATTTCCAGTTTTAAATACCAGGTACTTATGCCCTGCAGGAAACTTAAGTATTCAAAGTAGCCACACTCTGATTGTTAATAACCTTCTGAACTTCCATCAGATCGCACACTTATGAATTAGATGTATAACTGGTCCAGCAAACCCGCTGTGTCCTCAAGGAGAAATAGGGGAAATTAAAGTTCCATTCATGGTATTGTAAGCTCCTATTTACCCTCATTTACCCTCAGTGATTAATTACATAGGATTTTCAAGTTAATGAAATGTTCTGTTCTCTAGTTAGCAATTCTTAAAAAATTATAAGATAATTGAGCTATAATCAACATGCTATTTTTATTACAAAGTCACTTCATATTGGAGTAACTTTCTAAGCATCAACTATGAGGATGCCGTGAGAAAATCCAGGATATTTGAACTCTCTGCTCGTTTTAAATCTAGATTTACAAGTTTTTACTTAGCAAGGAATATTTTTCAGAGTCATAGATTTAAAGGAGGTTCCACTGCATGCCAGTTGGTTGATAGCAACTGAAACTTCTCTCACTTGGACTTTTGCACGACCCTGTTTTTTTGCTGCACAGCCTTTGCCTGTGGAGGTGGTTTTGAGCCTTTCCTGCATGTCTTCCATCGTGATGTTTTTCAGGACATGTTCCTGGCATGTGTCACTCTTCCTTAGCTTACATTTCAGTGTTTCCTGGGTGCCGATGGAGAGAGGAAAGGTGCTCTGTCCTGACAGTCTGTTTTCGTCACAGGCGTCTGTGTCGGATGAGAGCAGTCTCGGTGGGGCTCGGCGGAGCAGTGCCTGCGGTTCCCACGCTGTAAGGCACTTTCTGTGTTTCCCGAGCTTTCTGCGGCGTGACCCTGGGGTGACTCTCTCAGCACAGCTTCAGCCCTGGGAGATAACTAACCAGAGTGATAGGAAGGAAACACTGTCTCATCCCAGTTTTCCATGGTAATAAGGGTCATGGATAACGTAAGTCATATAGCCTTTGGTGGTTAGTTTAATGTCCTCACTCGTCAGTTTATGTTGAGGTCAAAGGGAGAAAGATCCATCTTAATTGAGTTTCATCTGCTCTTTCCCTGCAACAAGGGATGAAGTGATCTTATAATAATAAAAGGAGTCAAAAGGGAATTCAACAGGCCACAAATTATTCTCACCTCTGGATGATCGAGGAAGATGAACAAATTTAAGGACTAGAATATTACACATAAGGAATTTCCTTTTCCTATTTTGTTGTCCTTTCACCTCTTTGAAGGATTTGAAGTGATAGGGTTTCTCAATAAGGGTGTAGTAGTTGTACAAGAAATACTTGTTGAATGAAAAAGATGAGTGAATGAGTGAAGGATAAAAGGAAAACAAAATGGGCTGGGCCCATGGAAGTGCGGGAACTGGTTGACCTGTCCTGAGGATCAGCTGAAACTGGGCTTTGGACCCAGTCAGCCCTCCCCAGGGGCGGGTGCTTCTGCGTCCTGAGGCTCCTGCACAAATCCTAGGAAGATGCATCCACGCCCCACATGAACGACGATGGCTGAGGAAATACTTGAAAGTGCTTTTATAATTTTGCTTTCGGAAGTCATTGACTACTTAATCAATTGGTTAAACGATCCAGCTTTATGATTTTTTATATTTCTCCAGCCATGAATATTCAGGAATTCTTAGGCAGTAAGCCAGGGTAGCCTACAGGTTTCTTCAGAATGTGGTTTTTATAAATATTAATTATAATAATTGATGTAACATGAGTTTTTTAAAATTTTTATTGGGGTGTAGTTGATTTACAGTGTTGTGTTAGTTTTAGGTGTACAGCAAAGTGAATCAGTTATACATATACGTGTATCCACTCTTTTTTAGATTCTTTTCCCATATAGGTCATTACAGAGTATTGAGCAGAGTTCTCTGTGCTCTACAGTAGGTCCGTGTTAGTGATCTGTTTTATACGTAGTGGTGTGTATGTGTCAGTCCCACGTAGCATGAGTTTCTGTCGACATCTAATTGAACACTTGCATTGAACAATTTTATATTGCATAAAATTTTAATGCAGTGGAACCCGCTATATTGTCTTTTTCCAAGTTCTTAAATATTTTTGTAGGCCCTTAAAAAGCTCATAAACCGTACCTAATGGATGAAATAGCTCAGGCCCATAGGACGGATAAAATGCAACTAAATGATTTTCTTTTATCAGTAAGAGGCAGCAGCCGAACTCTTTAAGAGAATGGATCTTCCCAAGCACCAAAGCAGAACTTCTGATGTCTGGCGGGATGTAAGTCTCCTAGATCCTCTTTAAATGTTGCCTCTGTAGATGGACTTTTTCAAGTAGCTGATTCCTGACCTTCGGGGCCCTGTGACTGGCATCGCTGATTGCTCTTTTGTGTAGCAGTTATTTGGTGCTTTAAACCCTCCTGTAGGAACTGCCTGGGCGGTATGGCTTTAGGGAGTTAGGAAGTAAAAGGTCTTCTTGTCCCGACAGCAGAATGCCTAAAATAGGGCTCACGTCCCCGGTCTCACACCAGGCTGAAGAAATAAAAGAGAATCAAAAGATATTTTTTTTCTGCACCAAACACCACACTCGCTTGCAGAAGTAGCACAGCATGCGTTTGCTGGATTAAATGGGACAAATTGAACCCTGGGATAAAATCCCTCAGAAGAGCTCTCTGGGCCATCAGCTGTGTGCCAGCCACAGATCAGCAGGCCTGGTGGGAGGGAAGGTTCACTGACCTCTCATCCTTTCCCATCTCTGCCCCACCCCCAGCCCTCAGGATAGCCCTGAAAGGGGATGTGGAGTTCCCCACGCCCAGGAATGCTGTGTCCCCAGGCTCTCTATGCAGCTAGGAGCTGTGGCCACTGACAAATACATATACAAAAATGTGAGGACACTGCACCTTGGGAGTCCCTCCTGTCGTGACCTGTAGTACTGTGACCTGAGTCCAGGCTGACCCCAGGCCTGCCCAAGACAGTCCTGAGCCCTCTTTCAAAGACTTGTCCCCATCTCCATTCTCCCAAGAAATTAGCCTCAGACACAGTATGTGTTTACAATTAAAGGACTAATTACAATTACGGTTAAATGATTAAATGACTAGTTCTTGAAAGTAGAACGGTTTTGCTTCAAAACCTTTCTATTCTGTACCTCCCTTACCATTAGTAAGCTGTGTGCATGTTGTAGGAAGGACTCTTGGCCATGTGTGAAGTGACCTTCTTAGTTCTGACCCTCTGGGAAGCGGTCATCACCACCGATGCCAGCTGGTCCAGGAGCCGTGAGAGTTGTTTCTAGCAGAAAGGGACAGCTTGAGAAAAGCCCAGCTTGTATTCTCTTGCATAATCCTCAGAACCTGTGTGGTCAGTGTCTCCGCTTCATGACATAGATGACAAGATATGTAACTTTCTCAAGCTCTCGTGGCCGGTAAGAGATGGACGCTGGGCTCAGATCTTGCTATTGAATAACTTACTTCAGCCCACATTAGCCACGCTGACTGCAAAGTATGGGCGACTCCAGAGGTGCCACACGGACCACAGTGACACAGACTTTACACTTATTCTTTTCCACATGATCAAGTCGGATCGGATGATTTGAGACTCAGGAGTTGGGGAAACTTGGGTCAGAGATAAACCTTATTGACAACAATCTGTCATATCTCAGCACCATAAAGCAGGACTCGAATGACATAGGATACAGTAGGATTTGTCTACAGGAGGAAGTTTTCCTCTCTCTTGTATCAGCAAACCCAAAGGCGAAATACTTCTGCTTTAAAGTGCTGACGTTAGGTGTTTTCCTTTATTTTGAACAATAAAGCTAAAAGGTGAGGCTAGTAATGCTGGTAGATTTCTTGTATGTGCCATACATGGCAGTGATTCTTACACACAGTGTATGTACAGCTGTATTATCTGTGCATCAGAAATAGCATCTTGCACCTAAGTGTAAATACACAATAAATATTTATCCAACATAGGAATGAGTCCAGGCAAGATGGGTCTGGGGAATTTGCTCATCTTGACCAAGGCTGTTAACAGCCTAAACTTGAAATGGTTCATTCAACAAGTATTTCTCAAGTACCTACTGTGTGCCAGGCCTCGTCTGGTTGCTGGGGATTCAGCAGGAAACAAAATAGACACAGACTCTGCCCTGGGGAATTCCTCTCTGGTGGAAAAACAGGCAAACTAAACGATGGTATTTACAGTAAGGATCGTGAGCACCCCTGAAGTTTTGTGGCCCCATAATTTGCAGTAGGAATGATGCCTGCGGGCCTCCAGGGGGCCTGGGGGCAGGGAGCGGGCAGTCAGCACAGGCCTCGCAGGCCAGCTTCTCAGTCTGCCGGTGCCTGTGGTCCTAAATGGTGTTCGAGTTCCGCCTCCCCTCCCACCCTCCCCCCGCCCTGCCTCGTTCAAGAGGAAGGTAAGATTTTCTTTTTAAGGTCTCATGAACCGCTTTTATGATATTTTTCGGATATGTACATACTTTTTTTCTTAACGTCTTTATTGGAGTATAATTGCTTTACAGTGTTGTGTTAGATTCTGCTGTATAGCAAAGTGACTTGTAGTGAGGTGGATGGACTTATATCATGCAGAGCGAAGTAAGTCAGAAAGAGAAAAACACCGTATGCTAACGCATATGTATGGAATGTAAAAAAAATGGTTCTGAAGAACCTAGAGGCAGGACAGGAATAAAGACGCAGATGTAGAGAATGGACTTGAGGACACGGGGCAGGCTTAAGGGGAAGCTGGGACGAAGTGGGAGAGTGGCATGGACATATAGACACTACCAAACGAAAAATAGACAGCTAGTGGGAAGCAGCCGCGTAGCACAGGGAGATCAGCTCGGTGCTTTGTGACCGCCTGGAGGGGTGGGATAGGGAGGGTGGGAGGGAGACGCGAGAGGGAGGGGATATGGGGTATATGTACACATATAGGAAGGTAAGATTTTGCTGTTGTTATTGTTGTTAAACTGAAAATGCATTTAGGCCTATCACAAATGTGAATACAAATCAAAGTTAAGGGCATAGCCTCCAGATACACGAGTTGCTGGTGTTCTCCTAGAAGAGAGGAAGTTTAGGTAGATGGGTAGACAGACAGATGTACACGCAGGCCACCAGATAGAAGGTCCTGCGGCACTTTAAAAAGGCTTGCCTGATTTTGTATTAACCCTAAATCTTATTTTGTATTCACTTGTAAAGATAGTAGAGAGGCAAAGTTTTGCATTGCGCCAAAGCCGACCCCGCTTGTCCCGGTCTTCAGTTTCTGTGCCGGCAGGCAGCTCACGTTCTCAAGACCTGTCTCTTCCACATCGTGGAGGCTTTTCTGCGCAGAAACTAGGTGTCCTCCACACCCCAGCTGAACAGATGCTCTGTGTTACTTTCTTCCTACTAACCAAGAATTCTGTGTTTTTTGATAGTGTGATTAAGTTTTGTGTTCTGAGTGGCCACACGTCGAACGCTGGGAAGACACAACCTCCTTTCCCAGGGCCGGCCAGCGGCCCCACTAACCTCTCCTTCCCTTCTGGGCTGCGCCTGGCTGGCCTCACAGCTAACCGGAGCCTTTGTCTCGTGGCCTCTGTCCTCTTTGCATCTTCGCTGACCTGTTCCTTTGTTTCCATCTGCGTGTCCCCCGGCCAGCTGGGTGGGCAGCCCTCGGAGCACAGCGGCCACTTCAAGTCCAGCTCCCGCAGCTCCTCAAGAGGCAGCTCGGCGCGGGCCAGCCCAGTGGTGAGTGGGCCTCTCGCCCTTGCTGCTGTCCACTTCCTCCCTTCCCCCCCGCTTGGACCCTTCACTCCTCTGTCCCGTGAGAAGACCCCTCCACCTCCAAACGCCTGAACCAGGAGAAAGTAGGAAGGCTTTCCATGATTTATTTCAGGTCTAAGCAAAAGCAGGATTGGGGAGGATGCTTCCAAATTTAGAAAATGACTATTCAGTGAGCTCAGAATTGCACTGCTCAGTTTGCAAAGGACCATCTAGGAAGCTGCTGACAGCGCTGAAGAGATGGGGGTCTCACTGGGAGACGGGAACTTTGCGCAGTGCGGGAGAAATGTAGCCATGTGCCTGGCTGTGTTGTTTTTATGATTTAAAAATTTGAAGGCTCTTTTTGTATTTGTCCCAGTTAATTTATTTTTTTTTAATTGGGGTATAGTTGATTTACAGTGTTGTGTTAGTTTTAGATGTACAGCAAAGTGAATCAGTTATACATGTATCCACTCTTTTTTAGATTCTTTTTCCATATAGGCCATTACAGAGTATTGAGAAGAGTTCCCTGTGCTACACAGTAGGTCCTTATTAGTTAGCTATTTTATGTATAATAGTGTGTGTATGTCAGTCCCAATCTCCCAATTTACCCCTCCTACCCCTCCCCCTACTTCCTCCCTGGTAACCATAAGTTTGTTTTCTACATCTGTGACTCAATTTCTGTTTTGTAAGTAAGTTCATTTGTACCATTCTTTTAGATTGAAGGGTTCACTTTTTTTTTTTTTTTTTTTTTTTTGGTTCGCGGGCCTCTCAATGTTGCGGCCTCTCCCGTTGCGGAGCACAGGCTCCGGACGCGCAGGCCCAGCGGCCATGGCTCACGGGCCCAGCCGCTCCGCGGCATGTGGGATCTTCCCGGACCGGGGCACGGACCCGTGTCCCCTGCATCGGCAGGCAGACTCTCAACCACTGCGCCACCAGGGAAACCCCTGAAGGGTTCACTTTTAAACATTTCGTTTGGAACATTATCTGTTATTGGAGCCCAACAGTTTTTTAGGGTAAAGTATCGGCCTGCGGGTGCCACGGCATCCCTAGCTCTGTTCCATCCCCCACTGTCCCGTTGGTCCTCTGTTCAGTGCCTGTGAAACAAACGACAGAGCTGCTCTCCTGTTTGTCACCCGGCCTGAGATGACCCAAGTTCTGCTTCAGAAAGCAAGGGGTCCTGCTACCTAGTCTCCATCATTTAAGTCTCATTATTGTGTGTTTTTCCCGTGGTCCTTGGAATTTTAGACAGTTTCACCGCATCTGATGCTTTGTATGAGGCAACTGTATTGTTCTCTTGACCATAAGGGATTGGCAGGGCACATCTGCCTGGGGGACATTTGGGATGGGGGGCTGACACAATGACCAGGGAAGAACGTCCAGTGGACAGGGGCTGGGCCGTGTGCCGAGCGGTGTGCATGCCAGCCCTGCACCACGGGGGCTGCCACACCGAGGGCCAGGACCCCTCCTCATAGACCCTGGGCAGAAGAAGGCAAAGATGGGCGAGGTTGAACTTGGAGCTTGACTGTGGTTTGTAACTCACTTACACAACACCACAGTTAGACGCATCGATGTCTAAAATTCAGGAAGTGTTCCTGGTCATCAGAGAAGAGGCCATGGGGCTGAGTCGCCCACTTGCACACGTGCACCCATGGGGTGCTGCTGATTTGTTTTTAAAATTAGATGCAGCCTTTTAAAGCCAGGAGGCTTCACACCAAATGCAGACGTCTGCTTCTCCTGGCGACACAAACAAAGGAATGGATCCCTTTTGCAGACTGAGCCCGTATTGCTGAATCGGGGGCCTCAGTCTCCCCACGCCTGCCCTGCTTTCCCCGACTCCAAGGCCAAGGCCAGAGCCATTCGTCACTGGGCTTGCCCGGATGCTCTCCTGCTAGTAGAGAAATGTTCTCTCCGCCGTTTACACATCGAGGGTGAGAAAACAAAAGATAGATGAGGCAAGCGAGTATTAGAGCAGGAGAGCCTGTTTCCCTGTGGAATTGAAGGCTGCCCCCCTCGCCCCCCAGCAATGAGGGTAATAGGAGAAGCCGCTTCCTGACCGCACTGGGGTGGCGCAGGAAACGTGGGATGGCGGACACCCCACAAAGCCCGCTGCTTACTGCTCCAGCCAGGACCGGTCAAGCAGGGACGGTAAGATATCCAGCTGTTCCATATCACGTACGTTCAGTGTTCAAAACCTGGCGCGTCGCTTCTTCTGCACGTGGCAGACGGGACTGAAGCGCAGCGTTTGTGAGCTGAGGGATCCCTGCGCCGAGGTGGGCAGCCCCCGTCTGCGCGGGCCTGCCTGCCTGCCTCCGCCTTCAAGCCCTTGCTTGCGTGTTTCCGACGGAAGTCATCGGTGTTTTCCCATGATAGACCCGACGTGGAGAGCCGCCCGTTCTCAGGCATGATGCTCGCTCTCTGGCGCTCACTTTGGGGAACACGAAAGTTCACGGTCGTCAGAAGAAGGTGAGGCCTGACCCCTCCTGGGCTCCCTGCCTGGCGCAGCTCAGGCGAAGCAGGGAACTGTGCGCTCGTGATGGTCTGACGTCTTTGGGTTTATTCGGGCGTCAGAATGAAGTCTCAGCCTAGCAACACGTCTAGTTCCCCGGACGGAAGAGACTGAAAGCAGATATGAATTCCCCTGTCATCTGCTTCCTAAATCTGACAACAGTTTTTACTCCCACGAAATGGGTTTAGTGGACACAAGAGAGGTGAGCGTTCATCGTGCCCGTGTCCCTGGGGCCTGAGGACGAGAGGCGGGGGTCTCTTGGTAACTGGGGAGCCTGGCAAGACCTCCGCCACCGTCCCTTAGTCCCTGGAGAGCCCTGGGTTTGCAAGACTCCCAGGGGCTTGACTGGGCTGATTTTTCAGTTCATTACACACAGGTCATCAGTTCCGTCTCCTTTCTCCCCTGACTCAGCTGCTCATTGACAAAGGTCGGCTGACTCAGGCTGGCACGGTTAGTGAGCAGAGGTCAGCATCCGGGCACCTCACGCGGGTGTGGGGCGTCAGAGCTGAGGACGCCTCTGGGTGTGGCCCTCAGGAGGCAGAGACACCTGTGTGCCGCGCAGGGCACTTCCACGCAGTTATGGTGGCTCCTGGTCATCTGAAGGATAGAGCACAGGCAGCATTCCTGGCCTCTGCAGAGAGTCTGGAGGACAGAGCTGAGTGAGCCCTCTGCTCTGTGCTTCCAAACCGCAGTCCTCTTCCACGGAATCTGCCCCATTTCTCTTTTCTGAGCCTGCACAGTCACACCACTGGAAAGGGCTGGGAGTTTGCATTTTGGGCTTGCGAGACGAACAGTGTAAGTGGATGCATTTGGCCTTGTTGATTGGAAAGAGGCCAGGAAACTTGTGCTCAGACTCCCCTGGTCCTCCTGCCTGGGAGGGAGGCCTGCAGGGACAGGCGGTGCCCAGGGAGAGGCCCGTGGGGTGAGTGATCCTCCCCGCCTGGCTTCTCAGAAGGACGCAGAGCAGGAAGGGGGAGTTCCAAGACCCAGGTTAAGATGTCACAGCTCTCATTCCTGGCTGGGGACACCTGGCCAGGCACGTAGACTTCCTGAACTCCACCTGGAAAGACGAGTAATGATATGCTTGAGAAACAAAAACAAGAAAAGATTTGGGTTGATAACCTGCTTCTCCTGGGCGAGTTTTCCAGGGCTGTGAGTGTTGTCCACTATGGCTCGGGGAGAATGATCCCGCCTGGTGATCCATCAGGAATATGGTTCCAGGGGGTGGTACGGGTGAGGGCAGGGGGCAGGGGCCTCTCCGGGAGGAAGTAGGAGCCGGGGCAGGGGCAGCCCTGGGAGGCTCTGGGTGTGGGATGTAGGCTGGTGCCCCAGGGGACGGGCAAGTGGAGCATTGCCCAAGAACAAAAGTAACCAGAATGAGGGAAAATGATAGCTTGCCCCACTTTGAGAAAATAAAGGTACCTCAGCATCCAAAGACGCGAAGTGTGCCCCACCCCCTGGGTCCTCCAGCCTCGTGGGGAGCAGAGAGGGTGCCCGCCCCATCTCAGAAGGGCATACGCTATGGGACCTCATCTCATTTTTCACGTTCTGTAGCTGAGCCCTATTTTCTTCTCCAGAATCTTCCTGTTGAGGAAGTTGGGGTCCGTTCATTCAGCCAGTGTTTATCGAATGTTCTAGACACAGGGCTGCAGTGGTGAAGGAACACACCTGCTCCCCTCACAGACGTCAGCAAATGGGCGCAATACAGTATAGAACTCAGAGCACGGGCTCGAAGGAAAGAGGCAGGATGCTTCCAGGGAACTGGACTCGGGAGTCTGGGTGATCCAGGCCCGGAGAACAGCCCGGCAGAGGGCCTCGCCTGGAGGGCCCGACGCAGCTGTGTCACCCAGGCCTCAGAACCCAGCGAACCTGCCGGGTCACGGAAGCACCGGTCAGGGGTGTCCTGCGTGGCGCCCAGGTTCACGCGCCAGTGTGTTTTCAGAGAAGCATTGGTGGTGAACAGGAATCTCAGCCCCATCTGAGTTAGAAAAACAAAAGACTGTAATGACTCATGTTTTGTGTCGTGTGAAGAGGTGGAAGCAGGAACCAGGTGGAAAAACAGGTCTTGAATTATAAATACAAGAGTTCAAGGACCAGTCATTCAGGATGAGGTCAATATTATCGGATTTAAACCAGAAATTTCCATTCTAATGGTAGCCTCCACTGCTGTTTATATCTGAAGGAAAATTACCCTTAAAATGGGTGTTTTCTGAGCAGCGTTCAGTACTGTCAGTTGGTTTCTCGAGAGGGACCCCGTGATGACACTGCTTCCATGATCCCATTTCCCATCTGGGGCTTGGGGCACCATGAGGAAAAGTCCCTTTGTCCCTGGCCCCCTTGCTAGGGTCTTCCCACGCCCACCTACTGTACTCTGTCTCGAGGAAGGTGGGCAAGCCAGGTGGTGATATGGAAAACTTGGAATTTGAAACCTCACCAGACATTATATTTAAGTGAGCCTAAATAGTATGCTCATTTAGACACGATTTTAGAAGGTTGGAATTAACAAAATATTTAACGTGCTACGTTAAGCGTTTGTTTCTGAAAGGAAGAGTTGCCATAATTTAAAAGTTCACAGAATTTCTTTGGAAGTGACTACCTCCCGTAGATTTTAAAAGATACCTTTTTATACACTCCATTGTCATTATAAAATACTGGTTTGCATGTTTCATGAGGCTGTTACTGTAAAGTTTTCACACTGACCTAAAACGTTTAGTATTGCTCGGTAAACGAGAGTAAGAAGGCTGACAGGCTGCAAGGTCTGTGGTGCTGCCGCCCTTCCTCGGATAAGAAGGCGATGTCCACGAGGTCCTGTGGCTCGTCCCGGGTCCCGTGCTGCCGTGGGCTGCAGCGTGTTGGGACACGTGTGGTCCACGGCATGCCCTGGGTCACATCATGCAGCAGAAGCGACAGTGTTTAAAACCCTTCCATCTATTCTGTTTCTTTGTATATTATTTTCAGAGATAAAGTACTATGCTTTATGTCAAATTAAACTCACCGTCAGGGTTACTTATCTGTTCCTTTGTTAGGGGCAGTGAGGGGTGCCCTGCCTGACCAAGGCTCCCTGGGCCGGTCCCACTCCGTTCGACGCAGGCTGCCATCTAGTGGCATCTGGTGGGGCTGCAATGGCTCCATGCTGCTGCACGGCTTTTCTCCCTCCATCCCTCCCTTCCTCTTGCCTTGCCTTCCTTCTTTCCTTTCCTTCCTTCCTTCTGTTTTATTGAAATATAGTTGATTTACAATGTTGTGTTAATTTCTGCTGTACAGAAAAGTGATTGTTGTACATATATATATTCTTTTTCATATTCTTTTCCATTATGGTTTATCACAGGATATGAAATATAGTTCAGTTCCCTGCGCTATACAGTAGGACCTTGTTGTTTATCCAGTCGATATATAATAGTTTGCATCTGCTAATCCCAAACTCCCAATCCGTCCCTCCCCCAACCAAAACTGCACCACTTTCCATGGGGCTCCGCGTACTTCTTAGGTTGCAGGAAGGCCGGCAGATACACGTGTCCCTTGTCATTCAGAAAACAGACAAACGTCAGTCACCCTGATACTAAAATACAGATTGGAAACAACAGTCAAGCATAGATTGGCTATAACTCTCACTGAGAGCTTAATTTTTCCCTCCGTGGTCTCTACTTAAAAACATGTCCTGAATTTTCACATTCTGAGTTCGTTATCTATTTCAGAACAAAGGCTTTTTTCAAACTACTTTTAAACTAAAGAGAAAGCTATGGTTTTAGGGGTTTTTTCTCCCTTATTTGGTGTTTTGCAAATTACAAGAGCAGTGTGTGTGTTTATGGTGAAACAATGCAGAACAAAGCTATGCCAAAGGCCCCCAGGAAACCAGTGCTTTGGGGTCTGGTGTATAGTTCTCGTCTTTCTCACAAGACATACTACAAAAAAGAAAGCAGGGTCCTCATTTTATGGGCATGGATATCTTTGTAGGTGAACATAGGATTTCTGGAGCTTCATTTCTCTAGGCAATATTTATCTGTTGCTGAGGAACAGGAAAGACACTATTTAAACTGCAGAGCAAAACAGCAACAGGCTTCTCACGGTAGCTTGATGGTCTGTTCAACTGAATCTTCCCTTTCCACCAACAGTTAAAATACCCTCTTTATTTTCATCTCATTAATATTTGTTCTGCAAACTAACTTATTCTAGGGAATAAAGGCCTTGTGTCCAGGAGATCTAATGAATGGATTCTGCAGCAGGGCAAGTGCTGGACAGTAACTTTTCCTTCGTTGTTTGAAATTTTCAGGAATATTTGTATTCCCAAGTGGAGAGGAGACCCACAGTTGAAATGCTAAAATCATCCTCATGACTCAGCACATCGGTCGGGGGGCTCCCTGGAGCTCTGCCAGGGAGGATGAGATAGAACCATCTCAGTTGTAGGCCATCTACAGATGTTCCAGAATATCTAGTTAGGCTGGTGTGACATGCACATCTGAAAAAATAAAAATATATAAGATTACACACGCTAAACGCACGTGCCAACAAATGGCAGGCGGTGTGCGACATGGTAGTGAGTGAGCTGTCTTTATCTAACAGGCTATGACTGCCACATCGAGTGTGAAAAAGGATGCACGTGGCCAAGAGTGTCTGGAAATCTCCTGTCCTTGGAGGCCAGCCGGCTGTGGCCCAGTGGAGAGGAGAGTCCTCTGGGCGGAGGCAACGCCAGAATCCAAAGCCCCACCCGCCCAGGGGCTTATTTAGCAAAAGCTGGGAGTGGGGCCAGCGCGGGTCATCCCGCTGGCCTGGGGCCTGCAGCTCCTTCACGCCCTCTCCTCAGGACAAGGAGACCGGTTAGCTGCGAGCAGAAAGTTCTTGCTGAAGACCCAGATGTGAGCTGGGTGCGTGAGAACAGATGCAGTGGATTTGGGAGCCAGACCCGGGGGCAAAATTGGATCTGTCAAGCAGAAGACCCTTGAGCTTGACTCTCCTGAGCTCAGAGCTGGTTTCAGAAGTTGCCTTCTTTTGAATTAATCAAGTATTTTGTACGATTCCATCTGATCCCCTTGGTCGGCTCATTAGCTCTCACGCTTTGCTGTGTCATTCTAGCGGTTACTTCAGGCATCCTGCCCTTGGAAAGCAGGTTTGAGGAGCGTGAAGGAGAGAAGGTGGCAGTCAGTGAGCCTTCTTGGTGGGGGACAGGATGGTGAGGATGTGGGCATCCAGCCCAGCACGGGCCCAGGGTGGGCAGAGGACAGGAAGTGCTCGTCTTTACAGGAAATCACCGCCATTACGGCATCCTGACCTGTGCTTAGCGCCTGCACCCACATGCCCCGTGCATGACGGCCATGTGGGCAGTTGACCTGTTCACGAGCCGCTCTGCGGTGGCCTTGGACCCAGACCCGTTAGGATTTGTCCACCTGCAGTCTGGGTGGTCTGTGGCGTACACAGTCAAGGGTGACTGCAGGGTCCCAGCTCACTCAGAGGTCTCCTGGATCAAAGGTGTGATCCCACCCGTCACGGGCATCTGCAGTTGACCCCCTGGCCATCAAATTTAAGAACCTCTGAGCTACAGGAGGTGGGGTTGGAGGCATGATGGGAGAATCCGGAGAGTCTGGAGACAACTTGGTGCAGGGTTCTCTCGCCCTCTGGGACCTTTCCCATGGACTTTCGGAAAGGAGCCCTCAATGTGCCAAAAAAAAAAAGAAGAAAAAAAAAAAGAAGAGAAAGTTGGCCTTTCGTTGGATGCTAAGCAAAGAAAGAAATAGCACCAGTGCAGCCTCAGACTGTTGACCCCAACAGACCTTCTTCATAGGGCAGGGGTCTCCCATAGGGTTGAAGCAGATGTGCTGTCTTGGGGCTCCACAGGCTGCTGGGGGTCCCGCAGAGACGCCTGTTTGCAGGAGGGAAAAGAGAGGATTCAGAGACAGTCCAAACAGGAAAGATTTTGAAAAGCCAAATTCTTGGGGTCCCCCTTTTCACCCAGCACATTCTCCTGTACCGTCACCCACCCCCAGCCAGCTCCCCACATCTGGGTGTCTGTCGCAAAATGTTTACACTAGAATTTTCACGTTGACTCAGTTACTCAGAAGCAGTGGAAAAGCTGCAGTTGTGGCTCCACTGCTTTCTCTTGCTTTGGAGGCCAAGTTTAGTGATAGTCAAAATTAAAACTGTGTGGTTGCATCTTCCGGCCCCCAGAACGCTGGTCATATTCTCACGTTCCGATCATAGTAATTGTGGTGGGTGAATGAGGCTGGTGCCTGTCCTGTCCCACACTGTGTCCTGCACACATGTAGAAGCTGGTCAAGTCATCCTGTTCAGTTCATTCACAAATCATCTTCCTGTGGAAGTTGTGAAAGTTGAAATACCACACGGTGAAATTCAACCAGGCTCACCGAGCTGCCCGTGGGCCACCGCTGTGACACCAGCGTATCCGAGAGTCTCATGGTAAAGGAGTGTTTAAAATCACAAAGGGGGGAAGATCCCACATGCCGCGGAGCGGGCCCGTGAGCCATGGCCGCCGAGCCTGCGCGTCCGGAGCCTGTGCTCCGCAACGGGAGAGGCCACAACAGTGAGAGGCCCACGTGATGCAAAAAATAAAAAAATAAAATCACCAAGGAAGCTGATGCTTTATTTTATTATTATCTTACCCCCTAAATCCAGATTCTCCGTTTAATGCTTTTAAGTATTTAATATTTATCCATTTTCCTCTCCAGGTTGAAGAGAGACCAGAAAAAGACTTCACGGAGAAGGTAAGGAATTCCTGTAGCGCTTTATGTTGTGTCATCTATAAACCACGAGGGTCCCGAAATTTATGGATGAAACTAACAAGAAAATATATTGCTTGATCTTTAATAAAGAATTCCACCATGGAGTGAACAGGACTAGTGGGTGGCTCGCCAGGCAACACACAACCTTTGGGGTCCCCGGGGGGGGGTGGTCACTTCCAGTGTGCATGTTAAACCTGCAGAACGGTGAAGGAATTCACGATGGGCCCAGCCATGGAGCTTACGGTTACTCCAGACAAACCCTGAGCATCCATGAGGCCCCTCGAGATGAACCTCGTTTTCTTGCTCACCGTAAACCCACCAAAGATATTGCAATTTGGAACCTGAATTCAAGGAAAGGTACCATCCTAGTAGACTGAGAAATAATCTTGGTTTGGGCTGAAATCCCATTTGCTCTTGCCACTTTGCAGGGGTCTCGTGGGCTGCCTGGCCTGTCTGCAGCCACACTGGCCTCCCTGGGTGGGACTTCCTCTCGAAGGGGCAGCGGGGACACCTCCATCTCCATTGACACTGAGGCCTCCATTAGGGAAATCAAGGTAAGGCCCTCTACTTACGCGTGACCTAGAGAAACCTTCTGTGAAAATCAGTCTTCAAGTAAAGTAGGATTTAATTTGTGAAGTTCCAGCTCTTTCTTCTCCGTCTGGTCTCCCCTCCATCCCATTAAGCTTGGTGTTCTAGTAACAGTAGGGCCCGGCCCGGTTCTGGTTCCCGCAGGGAGCCGCCGCCCCTGACTTCCCCGCCCCGGTAGGGCCAGCACACCTGCGCTGGGATCCCTCAGCTCCCCGGGCACACCTGGGCGAGACCCCTCACCACGCTGCCCTGAGGTGCTCAGCCATCTCTGTACACAGGGCAGGAGTGGACATTCCGCCCACAGCACTGGAAGGTGCTGGACACATTACTCGCTGCCCCCGACAGTACCACCCTGCCCTTCGCGCATCCCCGCCCTCTGCCTGCAGCGTGCCCTTCCTTTCCCTTTGTCATATGCGTAATATGCCTTCAGTAGACCCCTTCGTGGTACTTTAGTGATTTTTCCTTCTCCCACTGGTCTGTGGACACTGTTCTCTGTTACACCCTCAACACTGAGTGTGTGACAGAGAAATGGGCCTCTGCTTGTTAAAGTAACTAGGGACGTTGCATCTGAAAAGGACACTGTGCAGAGGGAAGGCTGAGTCACCAGACCTCGTGTCCTCTGGAGAGAGCACGAAGGGCAGGGAGGCTCTTCCGGGTCAGATTTGGCTTCATTTACGGAAGAGCTTTCTAGTAATGAAAACTGGTGAAAGGGAACCAGCTTCCATTGGTGCTACCTGAACAGATGGATGGCATTTGCCAAGGAGGCCAGAGAAGAGCTTAAGCATCAGGGCCGGTGGGACTAGGTCCCCCTGCAGACGCCTTCCAACGCTTGTGCTTTATAAGAACAATGTTTTGACTTCTGTTCCTGAAATGTCCCTCCCTGTGTGGTCCCTCGGCCTCCTGCAGCGCTTTGGTCATCCTTTCCCGCCTTGAAGTGGAGTTGGCTGCAGTCATAATCTGCGTCTGGTCTTGGGGTTGTGAGCATGATTCAGTCGTTCAGTAAGGATTTATTGCAACTCCAGCTCACGCCAGACACCAGCCCCTGGGAATGTGGCGGTGAACGAGACGGGAAAGTAGAGTCCTTGGGCTCTGTAAGGGCAGGGACAAGGCTTTGCTGATTTCTGTCTTCAGCATCTTACTGTATGTAGCACAGAGCAGAACTCAAAGAGCTTGAATGAACTGTTAAGCATGAGTAAGTTAACCTGTTCCATTTTCAGAAGCTCATTTTATAAAACTGCGTAAAAATATATGAAGCCACATACCTTTGATAAAATTGTGTGAAAATACCATATGAGATACACCTACATTTTCATCTTTGTAGTGTTGAAATTCATCTTATTTTCCTTTTAACACTTAAAAAAGTTAAACGAAGATTGCTGCTCCGACTACTCAAATAAGGAAACCGCCCAGAACTAGAAAAGAATCAGAGAATCGCCTCTCCCTCCTTGTGGTCTCTGTCCATTTTTCCCTTTGACATCATTTGCCTTTTTTTGCCATTTCCCCCAGGAGCTCAATGAGTTAAAGGACCAGATTCAGGATGTAGAAGGCAAATACATGCAGGGATTGAAAGAGATGAAGGTACCGGCTTACGGAAGTGTGGACTCACGATATTAACCCAGCTTAACTTTAAAAAATCCTACAGAAGACATTCAGACTGCATGCTCGCTCTAAAGAGGCCCCAGACTGTAGACCTCAAAGTGGCAGGAATGCTAGTAGCACGGTGTGTGTGCTCAGGGTTTTCCCAAAGGCAGCTTTGAAACCAGGACTCGAAAATTGTAACTCCTCATTAGCAAATGTTACTAACATGTTTCCTGGTGCATGTCTTGGACTCACCTCCCCACCACACCTGGCTTAAAACCAGTTTCTCATTTCCCACAGAAGCATACCCTACACTTGAAGAAGGGTTTTTGGTTTTCTTCACTTTCCGCGGTCCTTACATACAAGGAGGGCTTCAACTTAATTTGCTTCTCAAAACACCTGATGTCTCCCGATAAGGAAGTTCTGTTGCTGTGCTTTTGAAACACACAAATTATTTGCATACTGCGCCATTTTACTAACCGAAGCAATGTCTGAATGTGTACCTTCTTGGATTTATTTGAGTAAATACACGGTACTCGTAGCAAGTGGAATTACTGCATTGTGCCGACCAGGAAACTGAGCTGCCAGGCTCCCTGAAGCGAGGTGGGACGTCAGGGACTTTATTCTCTGGCTTCACAGGGCAGCTCGGGCAGCTCGTGAGTCTAGCAAGAGGTGGTAACTCTGTTCCTTCCTTTTCAGCTCCTGAGAAAGTACCCCCAAACCAGTCTGAGTTCGGTATCCCAGGGGCACCAAATCACATGACTAATTAATCCGTTTCCTATTTGTCACCGGGGGGGAAATTAAGATTCTGGCTTTCAACCCCTACTGGAGTTGGAGAGAGAGCCATGGAAGCAGCGCAGGGATCACTGGTCCCACCTGAAATCCTTGCCCTGGTTTGCAAGTGCAGGCGAGAGCAGCGCTGGTCTCCACAGAGCCTCCTGGTAGCACCTGACACACGCCCGACCCGCCAGTGCCCGCCTTTCTGTAGCTCAGGGTCCTTTGCACCTGGGATTCTGCTCTGTGTTCTCCCAGAGTCGTCTCCCTCTGGTCTGTGCTCCGGGATCCACACGCTGCTGTCCTCTGTGGCCTGCCCTGCCGGTGTGTGAGCCCCGGGGTTGAGGGGGGCATGTTTACTTTGCAGGCCTCTTTCCCCGGTTGTCTTTTCAAAGGAATGAGCGTTGTCTCTCCAGGACCTACCCAGTGAGGCCTGTGTACCTTGTTGAGTTTTCCTATGGGTTGAACATGTGAACTTCCACTTAAGCCTTTCCTGGGTCATAAGCCCCAGTGGGGACAGTGGGCTGCTGGCGGCAGGTGTTCTACTCCCCCCCCCACCCCCGGCACTGGCTCTGTCCCAGGTTCTGGTCACGTGTCTTGAGTGGTTACTTCAGACGCCTGTACAGCGGGCTACAGAATCAGATTCCCACAGCCAGGGCTCTGCTGCCTCTGTGACCAGAGCCCCTGCCACCCAGCGTCCCCCTTGTCCTGATGACTGTAAGTTATCTTCACCCCTACACACAGTTCATAACTAATTTCCTGAGTCATGAGAATCGGAGCAAATTGAAAAGGGAGACTTTTGGGGCATTTCAAATTGCCGTGTGTTTCTTCTTCTGATTCATTTGCTCTAAGAAATAAAGTCTAAATTTAGGGCTGCGTTTTTGGAGGTTTTGTTAAAAATACTGAACTAATCTGTGTTTTTGTTTCCTTACTACAATTTCGAAAACATGACCTATTTTCTGCAGGATTCACTAGCAGAAGTTGAAGAAAAATATAAGAAGGCCATGGTTTCCAACGCTCAGCTAGACAATGAGAAGACAAACTTTATGTACCAGGTCGATACGCTAAAGGACATGATGCTGGAGCTTGAAGAGCAGCTGGCTGAGTCCAGGCGGCAGTACGAGGAGAAAACCAAAGTACGTGCTAGTGCGAGAAAGAAGCGTGGAGTGTATGTATATGTAAACGCTATATGTAAGGACGGGAGAATATATAGATATATAAACGGTGTATGTAAGGATGATAGAATATGTATATAAATGATACATGTAAGAATGGGAGAATATACATGTAAATGGTATATGTAAGAATGGGAGAATATATAGAATATATATATACACAGGCATATGTATATGAATGGTATATGTAATTATAGTAGACTACATATATAAATGGTATGTATAAGGGTGGGAGCATATACATACGGTATAGGTAAGAATGGTAGAATATGTGTGTGTGTGTATGTATATATATTTGGTATATGGTATCTACATGTTATACATGTGTATGTATATATTTGCGTGTGTGTGTTTTTTTAAAAAACAATAGTTCTCCACTTGCCCTGGAAGCCCAAACATATAAGAATAAGAATACCATGCTCTTTGCTGAGGGACTTGCAATATTCGTATGCACAATTTCAATATGTAAACTAGAGACAATTTTACTAGGAGGACATTTGTGTGTTTTGCATATAAGGTAAAATCATAACCATGAAAAAACCTGCCTACGAAAGACCCAGCATGCTTGGACAAAGCACAGTTAGATGCTTCAAGATTTAGCTGTTAATATACATTTCTTCATTCTTATTTTGTTATCCCAACACCAGAGAGAAATAGTTGCAAGTATCAAGGATTTTAAGAAAATTATATTCATTTGTTTTCTGCTGATTGGGAAAAGACATGGTTCCTCCACTTGAGAATTAAAAACCTTCATTAACCTCAGAAAAGGGTAGAATCTTATTTGGGCTTTCATGAAGAACCACTGGAATTAATATGTTAACTTATGTTATCAACAAAAAGCATGAGCATATGTTGAAATTAATGACAGTAGGCTGATTTGGCGAAGGCTGGGCTTAGCTGTTCTTTGTGAGTCAGCAAGGAATACTTGTTTTTCATATTTTAAGGAATTAGCTGGTTTGTCAAATCCTAGAATATTATCCAATTTTTCAGAGTTGCTGAGATAAATAGAAAATTTAATTTGTGAGTGTCATTATCTTTTTATTTCTAACTAGCTATATCCTCTAAATCCCAAGGGTTAAAGCCAAATACCATAACAACTCAAGGGCCTCCTTCTTTCACTACTGTAGTTGAGTTAGAAGCTAAAGAAGAATTTTGTCCATGAAGTTCCTGGTAACTGAACTCTGAAACAAAGGAGAAACTTTTCATGAGACCTGATGTCATGAAAGCTTTCTTTGAAACTAATTCATAATTTAGGAGCAGAGAGCGTATTCTGAACCCACTTGGGTGGAACAGTACTGTAATGCCTTCTACATACTCCTAGAATGCCCTCATTTAGGCATCAGGAAGTAGACCAAGAAGCCCCAAATCTAATTCCAGAGAAATGGGGTGATCCTGGAATGTTGACCCAAGGTGGGGACCATGGGCGAAACAAAGCCCGACAGACATGTCTTTGTCACAGCTAGGAGGGTCCAGTCACCCCCAGACTTCAGAAAGTGGGTGAGCACATGATGCCAGGGTGAGCTAAGGTCAAATCCCTTCTGAAATAACCGGGAACGAATCGAGGGAAGGTGTTCCCTGCTGTTCCCTAAACTGTTGGCAGCTAGGTGGGTACCACACCATCGTTAGGGACTGTGCTGCTGTGCTGAGCTGAGTGGGAGATCAGAGGAGTGTGTTGCCCGGATGCAGGGATGAGTCTCATGCAGGGAAGGGTTGGACTGGGGGAGCGGCTTTGTGCTGACAAGGGCTTTGCTTCCCCCGCCTGTTTCTGTTTTGTCTCTGAGGTACAGAGCTGGCCGCCTACTGTTAGTGAGATAAACTTGCCAAGGTAGACCATCCCTTTTTGCCCCAAAGAGTATTCATCGGCATATTTCAAACTCAGGGATGATTTTATTACCACTCTTTGCAAAGCTGCCTCTTCCAGGCCCTCAGCAGACAGCCTGGGGGGCCTTCCCAGGGCACGGCTTACCTGTAAAGAAATCGGGTCATACTGTCAGCTGTGGCAACTCCTCAGGTTAATTTATTTTTTTTAATTTTTGAATTTTATTTTATTTATTTTTTATACAGCAGGTTCTTATTAGTCCTCCATTTTATACATATTAGTGTACACATGTCAATCGCAATCTCCTGGTTCATCCCACACCACACACACACACACACCCCCCGCCCGTTTCCCCCCTTGTTGTCCATATGTTTGTCCTCAGGTTAATTTTACAGTAGATTGTAGGGGTGTCTTCTAGAAAATCCAGAGAAACTGGTTCATGTTGTTAAAAAGGCCTTGAGGGCTTCCCTGGTGGCACAGTGGTTAAGAATCTGCCTGCCAATGCAGGGGACACGGGTTCGAGCCCTGGGGCGGGAAGATCCCACACGTAGCAGAGCAACTAAGCCCGTGCGCCACAACTACTGAGCCTGCGCTCTACAGCCCGCGAGCCACAACTACTGAGCCCCCGTGCCACAACTACTGAGCCTGCGCACCTAGAGCCCGTGCTCTGAAACAAGGGAAGCCACCACAATGAGAAGCCCGCGCACCGCAACGAAGAGTAGCCCCTGCTCGCCACAACTAGAGAAAGCCCGTGCGCAGCAACGAAGACCCAGCACAGCCAAAAATAACAACAAAAAAAATAAATAAATTTATTTTTAAAAAAGGCCTTGAAAATTGTGATGACATGGTAACAGGTAATTTGTTCCAGGTAAAGGTAAATCATAAGAACGTGAACTAGAGCGACAGAAAAATGTGATTCCACTGGAACTTGAACGCTTTTCTCCTCCTTCATAGGAATTTGAAAGGGAAAAGCATGCCCACAGTATCCTCCAGTTTCAGTTTGCTGAGGTGAAAGAGGCCCTGAAGCAAAGAGAAGAAATGCTTGAGGTGAGTAGTTTTTCCTGTTTTTCTTTTCTGATCTTTTTTTCCTTTGTGTGTGACTTAGGAGCATCTTGCTGGGTCATTACTAAAGCTACCAGTTTTCTTGAAAATTGAGTTTAGGGGAATTCTCTATGCCTCGTTTGAGGAGACAGTTCCTTTTATCAGTGAAGATTCTCATTCTTTGGTGGTTTTGTGTTTGTTTGAGGAGGTGTGGCAGACCGAACAGTGCCCCCCAAGATGCCCATGTCCTAACCCCTGGAACTGTGACTATGTCACCTTACTCAGACAAAGGGACTTTGCGGTTGTGATTAAGTTAAGGACCTTGTGATGGGAGATTATCCTGTATCATCTGCATGGACCCAGAGTGATCCAAAGAGTCCTTGCAAGAAGGAGGCAGGGAAGTCAAAGGCAGCATAGGAGATGTGACCGTGGGGGCAGAGGTCAGAGCCACGTGAGGAAGGGGCCACAGACCAAGGACTGTGGGCACATCTAGGAGCTAAAAAATGGTGGAAATAGATTCTCCCCTGCCCCGAGCCTCCAGAAAAGAGCCCAGGCCTGCCCATGCCTTGGGGACACCATAAGGCTCATTTTGAACTTCTGAGCGCCAGAACTGTAAGAAAATAAGCTTGCGTTGTTCTAAGCCACTGAATTTGTGGTGATTTGTTACAGCGACAAAAAGAAACTAATGCAGACTTGACTTTTTACTTTTTTAATTTGGTTAGAACTCTAGTGCCTGTAAGTGAGAAGTTCACTCCAGCTGGTTTTCTTCCTACTCTTGGAGCTGGGGAAAAGGACAAGGATAAAGTCCCTGCATCCCGAGAACGAACTCGGGATCAGTGAGAAAAAATGGTGCCGGGACCTCCAAGGGCGCTTGCTGGCTCAGGGGTTGTCTACACTGCAGAGTTGCTTCCCGTTTAACCCTGTATCTGCTTTCTTTCTATCTGTTCCTATTCTTCAGGAAATCCGACAGCTACAGCAGAAACAGGCGAGTTATATCAGGGAGATTTCTGATCTTCAGGAAACAATAGAATGGAAAGACAAAAAGATAGGGGTAGGATTCTCAAGTCTTTGAAATCGGTTCAAGTGGGCAGTCTGCTTAGCAAATTGAATGCTTTCAGAATCTTTGGTTTGCAAAAAGGCTTGTATGAGTTTGCATGTGACCCCCGTGGGACACAAAACGAATAAAAGAGAGACTACATGAACTTACCCAAATTGACATTAACTCCAAATTGGAAGTGGACTTCCAGTGTGGAGATTCTCCTTTGGTCAGCATTCCCGGGCTCCCTGCCTGCCCGTGAGCAGCCGGCGGCACAGAGATCAGAGGAGTGAGGAACCCGCTGGGCGGGTCCATGCATGGAGGCTCAGACCTCCTGGAATTCCCTGTCCCGTGTTGCCTGGGCTTTTTCTCCAAGGGCTTTGAGGAAGCTGCAAGGTGGCAGGTGCTGTGCCTCACGCATGCCCACCTTGAGCCTCCCCAGGGAGATGTCAGCCCCTCTCGCTCCACAGGGAAAGAAGAGGCAGCCCATCTGCATTTAGAAGTGACGAGTAGGGAGCAAAGAACGCTTACTAAAGTGACAGCTGTGCTCCGCGATGCCAGATGGCTTCCCAAACACGGCGACTCACTCCCCACGGCTCTGATAGCAATCTCTAGATGTTGAAGCGAACGTCAGCGCCTTTACAGCGTGAAGCTGCACCTTGCCTTCACTCTGATACGCTCACCGATGCTCATTTAAGATCTCGTGTGCATGTCTGTGTGTGCGTTGTGTTTGCCTCGGGACCACTTTACGTTTATCTGTGACAACAAACACCGAGAGTCAACGTACAAAAATAGTCTAAATTACTAAAATAGTTGTCACTGGGGGGTTGTAAACGTTTCTTCTTTTCCTTTATTTATCCCTCATTTAAATGGGTGCATGGCTTCTGTTGCTTCTCCAACTATGCCGTGAAACCGCAGACTAAGCCAGGAGAGGGTGTAAAAAAGAAAGCATCCTTCAGAACGTTAATGTCTTTCAGGGAGCATGCACAGTGACATTTCTTGGCTGGCATAAGCTAAGTGCAGAGCTTAACACTGCATTGTGTTTATATCTTTAAGCATAGTCTATCGAATGCCCTGCCGGTGTTAGCGTTTTACATAGTAGAAGCCCCCTTCCTAGTCCTGCTTCTGAAGTCATCTGCTCACCTGTGTGAATCTTCTCTCTCTTTGCTCCGCTACACACTCAGGCATTAGAGAGGCAGAAAGAGTTCTTTGATTCCATAAGGAGTGAACGAGACGATCTTAGAGAAGAAGTAGTCGTGCTGAAAGAGGAGTTAAAGGTATGAAGCCAAAGTACAGTTTTTAAAAATCCAGGCGACAACAGCAAATTCCAGGATTCTCAAGGATGAATGTGTGTGGATAGTGGTGTTCATTGATTTTATGTCGTTGATTTTAGTTCTGTTAATAAAATCAAATCGTAGGTTAACTGACCCCCAAAGAGACATGTGAAGTCAGTGTAGATTCCGTGGGGTGTGCCGATGGTCTTTAGATGTTTATAGGCATATCTGATCTTGGAAGCAACTCTGATTTCCAAGAATTTTTTTGATAGGGTGTCTAAATTTTTTCTCAAACTCACCAGTAAATTCTCCAGGACATTACTCCAAGTTAGAGAGTGTATTTCTTTCTTATATTAAAGTCTCGAACATAAGAACCCCTGTAGCTGGACAGTGGCGTGGCTGACGCTAGTTAGACTTGGAGACCCCGTGGATGGTAGGAAAGTGCTGTCTGGGCTATGTCAAGGGGTCTTCAGCTGCTGGCTGGAAACTGAGTAAAATAAACCAACGGGCAGCAGCGGGGGTCAGAGCTCTGGGTGGACTCTCGGCACCATAGAAGGTGGTGTTGAGTCTAGGGGGTATGGCCACGGGCTGGCACGTGCATCGCCAATGGAAACATCCACGCCAGCTACTTATAATGAAGGGTCAAGGCCAGAGCAGTAAGCCAGCAGGGAACAGGCTTAGAGCTCAGATTCGCAGTGCTGCTTCTAGCCAGGGTGTGAGTACAGGGCTGGGAATTCCTCCAAGCAGAAGAGAAAGAGCTATGGGCGGCAGGAGGGGGTAAGGGAGGGGGCGATCCCGGGTGAGGGGGGCATCCTGGCGTTGTGAAGCGTTGCCGGGTTTAAAGTGTTTTGCTGTGTAGTGAGCACGAATTGTATTTCTTTCGACTCTAACAAACCTTCCATCCAAGTTTGATCATTCCTCTCAGAACACATACATATTTCTTTATCTCTATCCTTTTAAAGAACACAGCCGGGGTTTTAGAGGTAAAGACCACTCTGTAGTGGTTTGCTTGATGCTCCGCTTTCTGGCAGGCTACAGTGAAAGAGGAGATGCCCAAGGAAGGTGTTTTGTCACCAGCACACTGAGACGTGGATGGGAACATGTAAGGAAGGACCCTTGGAGGAAGACATCCCAGATCAGTGTGTGTTGATAGAATATTTACAGGGGTGCAGCCTAGCGCTCCTCTGTCTCTGTAGAGTTTTCCTCTGCTTAGGAAAAAATTAGGCTTTTTTAAAATTATCATTTATAAAATAAAGTTTAACCTAATATCACTTAGTGAGTGTTACGATGAGCCTGTTTTTATTCCCAGAAACATGGAATAATCCTAAATTCAGAAGTAGCTACCAATGGAGAGACTTCAGACCCTCTAAATAATGTTGGCTACCAAGGTTCCACAAAGATGACAAAGGAAGAGTTAAATGCCCTCCAGGCAACAGGGGATGGGACGCTAGGTAAGTACTTGTTTTCCTTTGATCCTCGTGTCTTCCAGTCAGCACTGGTTCACCTTCCATGCATTGGCAGAGTTGACGTAATCATCACTGATCGATTAACAATCACCCAGCATGCCCTTCGTTCTGTCACTTCATGGGAACTTCCTTGTCAAACGATGCCATCACCCACGTGTGTTGTCTGGCATGTACCTCTGTTCAGTGCTCACCACCGATGGCTTAAGACTACGTTTCTTTTGCTTCTCAAAGCTGCCAGCGAGACTGTGAATACAAGGAAAATAATCTCAAAATTAAGTGACCGTGTTGACGGTTCTGTTGTATTTGTTTTTCTTCAGTTATGTGCCAAACACGGCGTTGTGACTTATTCTGTTACAGAATTGTCAAAAGATCAGAATAGCAGAGCTGTAAAGTAAGTTAGTTGACTGTATTTGCAAGCCAGTGCTGCAAATCCCGTGCACCATTAAGCGTTTTGAGAGTCTGAAGTGCCTGTGGACAGCAGATGGACAAGTAGCCCTGGGTGTAGGTGAGATGGACGGGGAGCCCTGGGTGGTGAGTGTGGTCATTGCGGAGGGCTTTCCTTACCAGCAAGAGTCTGAAAACGTCTGCCCCTTTGTCAGAGGTGATGTTCCTTTGTATGTCACATTTTTGCTTCTGAAAGAATGTAAATTGGGAAACCCAATATATTGTAGGAATATTTTACACAGTTTTCAAATATCTGAAAAGATTCACCATTAATATTTGTCGTAATATACTTGGCTTTGGGATAAACCTTCTGCGTGTGGTGGGCCGCCTGAAGTTGTAGCCAGCAAATAAGGCCTCGCTCGCAACCATTTCCAGCTTTTCATAGTGAGGCTGGGATAAGGTCAGGGACCATGGCTGTAGTTTCCACTTGGAAGGTTCTTCATGGACATGAAGAAACCTGTAGGCCCCAGCTTCCCAGGACTGGCTTTCCGGGAAGGTGCCTCATTACCCTTATGACTATTCAAGAACCACAGCTCTTTTCATTGTGTCAGAGTTGCTGAGGGAAGATAAACTGATGAATGTCCATCCTACCTTTATGTTCCCTACCTGAGCAGCTAGAATTTATCATGCTGCTCTTGTTCAAATATACATCTTATAAATCCTTGATAACTGTTGTGTAATGAACACTTAAAGAACTAGAAACGTCAGTTTTGTAAGGGGTCTCCATGTGTTTTGTTTTTGTTTTTGTTTTTTGCGGTACGCGGGTCTCTCACCGCTGTGGCCTCTCCCGTTGCGGAGCACAGGCTCCGGACGCGCAGGCTCAGCGGCCATGGCTCATGGGCCCAGCCGCTCCGCGGCATGTGGGATCTCCCTGGACCGGGGCACGAACCCGCGTCCCCTGCATCAGCAGGCGGACTCTCAACCACTGCGCCACCAGGGAAGCCCTGGATGTTTCTTTTAAAAATTATGTGAAAGCTGCTCTCAGAGCTGCGTGATATTCAGTGCAGTTTGACAGCTGGAAAAGTAGGAGTGGTCCCCGTGTGCATCCAGAAATGAGAATGGGGACCACGAACCTTCCGTCCTTCTGAATCCCCTCATCTTGGAGAGTTTGGCTGCCTGATCCAGAGCTCTTTCTTATTTGTTAAAACTTAACTTCACCTTTGAAAGTCAGTTCACCCCAGGTGGCACCAGCAGCCACTCTTGCCTTTGACATGGTGGCAGTGGCCTCCGCTGATCCAACGTTTGCTAACGCGATGGCTGCTTTGCCGCACAGAACTGGCAAAGGCTTCTGTCCGTGTGCTTCTCTGATGGCTCTCTCTCTTTAGGAGCGGGGTTGGCTGGGAAAGAGAACATGTGTTTACATTGTAATATATGTTGTGTGGTCAACCACATCATGGGGTCCCTTCAATTTTCTCAATGGTCTTTTAGGAAGAGCCAATGAAGTGGAGGTGAAAGATGAAATGGTGGAGAATGAGGGGAAAAGAGAAATCTTGCAGAACACTGAGCAAAGACAGCACAAAGAGGACCCAGGAAAGGACTGTGTGGACACAGAGGTGTTACATCCTGGTGACAATGCCGAGGACCAGAAAACCTCTGAAGACAGTGCCCCCTCCCCAGGAACGTTAGTAAATTCTGAGAACGAGGAACAGGTTCAAAGCCAGATTCTGGAGGACACTTCCTTCTTTGAAAGCACACAGCAGGTTGAGTCAAGTGAGGTCATAAACAGTGAACTAGATGGTGAAATCCCAGGTCCTGGGATTGGGCAGGGCAGCAGTTATGCCTTGGATACCAAAAACCAAAGTAAAGAATCTGCAGAAGAGTGGGAAAAAGAAAAACAGGAAGATTTTGAAACCAACGTGGAAGAGATTAGCGTAGAACCACGTCAGGAATGTGCTCCTTTGCAAGTATCTGAAGTTGGAAGGGAGAGCAGTGCAGACACTGGGGAGCAGAGTGGGAACCCCACAGAGGCTGTGCCGGAGGCAGGGCTCACTGGGTTGGGGGAGCAGGTGGGCACAGTAGCCTCAAGTCCTCCAAGGGGTATCGATGACACAGTGAGTCACCGTGAAAAGTGTGAGGTAGATGCTCCGGAAGGCTTGGACCCAAGCTCAGGGCATGATTTAGAGAAAGAACTCACCAACCAGGAAGTAGCTGAGCCCAAGGAGGTCCCAATTCAGAGCACAGAGGTAGGTGGGGAGAACAATGAAGGGGAGGGTAAAGGAAGAAAAGTAAGGGATGAGAAACCAATCAAGCTGGAAGTCCAAGCCATTCCTTGTTCTCCAGAAGCCAGAAGCAGCCCTCAGGAGGCGACAGGTCCAAGTAAGGTAGATGCTGAAAGTGAATCCCTAGATATGAAAGAGCCCGATGAGGAAAAGAATGACCAACAGGGAGAGGCGCCGGATTCGTCACCCAAGAAAACAAAGAGCAAGAAAAAGAAAAACAAGAAGAAAAAATCACCAGCGCCTGTAGAAACCAAAGATGTTCAGAAAGAGTTAACATTTCAAAACCCAGATTTAAGTGAAGTGAAAGAAGAGCAGGTAGAACTTACTGACAAAAAGCCAGTTGTAGAAGCGCAAAATGAGGTCACTAAAAACCCAAAACAGGACGCTGCGGTAGGAAGCAGTAAAAACGCCGATGGTCCAGAAAATCCTAAAACTGAGTTGGATGGAGGACTTCACCAAGACGATTTTGGTGTAAACACTAGGACAAGGAAAGCAGTAGCTGATGGAGACACATTGGGTTTTGAAGATAATACAGTTCAGTCATCAGGCACCAGTGCCAGTAATAAAGAATCAGAGGAAGGTGCTAGAAAAGATGATGCTGAGGAAGACGGCACCGCTCCCAGCCGTCCTCCAGGTCCAGACAATGAGGAAGTGCCAGGCAGCGCCCTGCTCCAAGACGAAGGTCCCTCGAAGAACATTAACGATGCCTGTCAAACAAAAGGCACAGGAGAGCATGTGACATCAGAAAATCGAGGTCACACAGTCAGGAAGGTTTCAGACAGCGTTAGTCTAGAAAATGATGACGTGGCACCAGCAGGCGAGGTGGGGGACTTTAATTCAGAAAGCAAGGAAGAGACGACAGGTGGACACGGGAAGGGCAGAAACAAAGAGGACTGTACCTTGTCGTAGGTTGAGGCGGGGTCTTAGGGGGAGACCAGGACTGCACAGCAAGTCCAACTGTGAGAGACTCCACCGGTGAGACACAGAAAATGTTCTAGATTGGTATAGGCGCACCGAATGACAATCCACCAAGTTATCTAATCCTTGAAGCTATAGACTGTTACCTGTAGCTTTCTATTTCATCACTAAGGTTATCACCCAGATGAGAAGGACACTTCTGTTATTGGAGTTAGTTCTAATGGAGAGCATTCCGAGAGCATCGAACAATAATGTACACTGTTTTATTTCTGCTTAAAATCAGCCTCAAAATATTTAGCTTTGGCCTTAAGCTGATATGAATGTGCATATTCTTGACCAAATGTATCAATATCTAATTGAAGCGACCAAATAGTATCCTGAGATTTCCACATTATGAGTATGATTTAAATGAAGGTGTCTCATTTAAATGTATGTGCTTTCATATTTGATCTTGATAATGTATAATGTAACCTGTATGGTATTTTATTTAAAAAGTACGTAAACGGCCAGACAGCACATAGGTCACTGAGTGATGAGATTTGCATGTTAGGACAATAATTAATCATGTTAGGGATAGCACATAAACATCTTACAGCACTAGGGATAGCTTACTTGCTTTTACCTCATATAAGTATTTTACCCCAGACCAATACTTTTAGATCTCATTCTTGAGGATACCTGAATTTATTTTGTAGGAGATTTTGACTTCATGACAATTATGTACCAAAGTCATTTTATGCAAAGACTTCTTTTTTTTTTTTTTATTCTTTTCTGGAAGAGATACATGTTGTAATTGCATTTCCTACTGCAGTATTTGGCTAGGGAGAATCATTTCTAACATTTATTTTTTTAACCTTAAAATTACTTCTCTTTGTATCTGTCTAATCATTATTCAGTAGAGCAAGACAAAAGGATGCTATACTTGTGCAAACTTCTGATTAGACTCTAACGGGATATTTTAAATAGTTGAATCACTTGGTATCTGGTATAAATATTTTCATTTGTTGTTTTTCGGTATATTCTTAACAGAAATTTCTTGTTTTGATCTTCCTGAACAAGATATATATTTTCTATATAAAGAAACATTTTAAAAATAATTGTAAAGTTAAATAAAAAACCATTATAGAATATTAAAATGACAGGGGACTGTACAGTTTGAATGCTGTTGACACTTTATGAGATCATATGACTTCGTATTATTGTTACAAGATATAATTGAGTGCAAAAATGACCGATACCTCAACAAAATCTGAAATAAAAACATTTTATAATTTTACAAGCCTGTGATCACTCTTGTGCTACTTGAATTCTGACTGTGGCTACATAATATCATCTTTAATCTACTTTTATCTGCTTCTGGGTTGCTAGTTCCCAATTGGGGTTCTATGGAGGACTCATGCGTGATATCCATTGTCAGTAGTGAAGAGCTTCTCTCCCGGCGTCCAGACTGGGACTAGTGTTGGACCATCCTTGAGTAAGATCTTTCCGCATAGAACCTCCTGTGGTCTGTGGCTGTGGTGAAGAGCCCACTTGAGAAAGGTTGCGTTGCTTACAGGCGCCAATGCTTATTAGAATGTTTCGATGAGAAATTCAAATAAACATCGACTATTTCTGCATGAGTGTCCTGAAGCAGAGGATAATGGGACTGCTCAGCTCTCTCCACTTGTGCCATATAAACAGAAAACTATGGGGCTTGCTAGAGAATCAAGCCCAAGGGCTGCAAAGGACTTTAAAGTTGGTATCTATAACTTGAGCAAAGCTGCATTCATACTGGAATGTACATTGGGAACAGCTCTCCTTCCTACTTTTAAAGGCCTCTGGGGAAGCGATTCAACAGCCAGACTCACTCAGTGGTGAGATCATCAAACCATTTTAAGTTCTTTCCTTTCTTTCCCATGTTATTCGACAGCACATTTAAGGGCATTATTATAGGCTTCCCATCCCTCCAGCCAGCCAGCCAGCAGTCTCAAGTGTTCATCCCTCATTTAATCAATAAACATGTAAGATCACTTCCTATATGGAAGGTGCTCTGCCCATGAACAAGCACATAGGACCCAACCTCTAGTGGAAGCAGGAGAGAATTGGAAAGTCAGCAAAAAAGAAGATAAGGATTCTGAAGAACCAAACCATCCCTGATAATCTAAGAGCCTTCATTATGCACATCAATTACCCTGCTCCGAGGGCGAGATGATATTACGGCCCCACACAGTAATTAATCTGCACGTGAAGGCCCCTGAATTATCAAGAAATGGTTACCTTTGGTATATTCAGTGTAGGAAGGCGTGGAAGTATATAATAAGGCAATTTGGAAAGATCGCAATGTCAAACAATTCAGACTCAGAAAAGAATCAAAAGGTGACCTGTCAGTCCCAGCCCCAGAGGAACCTGGACCACTGAGGTTTCACTATAATGCAGAGCAGAGAAAAGCATCGATCACTGATACTTTAAATCAAAAAGCTGGGATATTTTTCAACCCCAAACCAGAACGTGGCTACTGTATGTAAAATGTTAATCTTCCTTCCAAAGTATGTAAGTATAACTATGAGTTTCTGTAAAAAATAGGGAAAGGTGACTGAGAATTTTGAATTATAGGCTATTTTATAACATACAAAGGTTGGGAAGCAGTAAAACTTTTGAAAAGAGTGTTTAAGAATGGGGTATCTTGCATTGACTACTTTGTATAACATGGAGTATTTCCAATTAATGGAAAACCTAATGACCTGAACATTTGAATTTCCACTGTCACTAGGACCCTGGAATGCTGCTTCTGGGTGTTTAGACAGTTTAGGGTTCCTGTTTTCCATTGATAAGATTCCTTTTCTAGGAGACCGCCTTGTATGACGTGCCACCACGGCCATCGAAACAAGGGAACGCAACAGTAAGATTCATTCCAAGTGTCCGGGCTCCAGAAGGAAAGGCAGGGGCGTGTGAGCGTGCTCCATTCAGAATATGTGCTTATCCAGTGTGCTGACCTCATACAGGGAGGACAGTCTTTCAGGAGAAAAACCCTTTCGCTCTCCCTTTCACCCTCTCTGCCCCTCTTACATCAAAGACGAACGAATTTTTTGAGACGTGAAAGGCTTCAGCTGTTTGGCCGACCTGAAGCAGCAGCCTGTCCCCGTTCTGCCTTTTGTACAGACCTCTCGAGCAGCCTGTCCCTGCTCTGCCTTTTGTACAGACCTCTCGAGCAGCCTGTCCCTGTTCTGCCATCCGCACAGACCTCTCGAGCAGCCTGTCCCTGTTCTGCTTTTTGTACAGACCTCTCGAGCAGCCTGTCCCTGTTCTGCCTTTTGTACAGACCTCTCGAGCAGCCTGTCCCTGTTCTGCCTTTTGTACAGACCTCTCGAGCAGCCTGTCCCTGTTCTGCCTTTTACCAGAAGCAGGGGCGATCCTGGCGTGGGAGGCTAGCCCTGGGGAAGATGAAAACTGACCACACGGATTATAATCAAATTAAGTCAGTGCAAGGAGAGAGCAGAGAAAGGACCACACTCAGTGGATTTCTTGAGATGTCAGTCTTCTGATCATTATCTTTGTGAATATGGAGGGAGGTGACTTTCTCTGCAACGGGGAGAGGAGGCCTGAGGCCCAGGGTTGGGTGAAATTAACCCACAGAATGAAAATTATCCTCCTGATAATATATTATTATGAGTAAGCTACTTACCCTTCCCGTGTCTCATTTTACTCTCTGAAATTGGGGTTAGAACCTGCCTTTGAGAGTGGTGGTGTGGATCAGACCCAGTAAAGCACTGGAGAGTAAGTGCTGAGTGACCACGGTTGTTGCTGATGGTTGACCTTCGCAGCCTGGACAGACGCAGTCACAACACGCAAGCCCCTCTGGAGCGGGGCTGGGGGTCCTGGTACTTGCTTGCTGCCCCTGTGACTGTCTGTATGGCCTCGCCACTTTTCTTGTTTCTTGTTTCGCGGGTCTCTAAAGTTCACACCAGAAGGTGTGGTGGAATTTAATATATAAAAAACAGATTTTTTAAAAATGTAATCCTTTAACAATGTTACTAAAATAACTTTGATTGCCAATTGATTTTAACTTCCCAGTGTAAAAGAAAACTCTGAGTTCGAGACAGTGTGACTTTATTTTCTTTAATGCTTATCGTTTGGGTGTTAGAGACCAACGGTGAGCAGGGCTGCTTAGTGAGTGTAGGTTTGCAGCCCTCTTGCTCAGTATCACGGTAATTACCAGTCATGCATCACTGTTCACTTCACAGGTTAGACTTGTTGACTTTTAAGACTGTAAGAAAAGCAGTACTCATTTTCATTTCTTTTTTGAATTTTTTTTATTGAAGTATAGTTGATTTACAATATTATGTTCGTTTCAGGTGTATAACATAGTGTTTCAGTATTTTTATATATTACACTCTATTTAAAGTTATTATAGTGGCTATATTTCCTGTGCTGTACAATATACCCCTGTAGCTTATTTATTTTATACATAGTAGTTTGTACCTCTTAATCCTCTGCTCCATCTTGCCCCTCCCTCCTTCCCCCTCCCCACTGGTAACCACTAGTTACCATCTGTGAGTCTGTTTCTGTTTTGTTATATTCATTCGTTTGTCTTATTTTTCAAATTCTGCCTATAAGTGATAATATATACTGTCTGTCTTTCTCTTATTTCAGTGCTTATTTTCTTTATGTCAGACAATTTTGCTTCTTTCTTTTTTCCAGTTTCCTGAAACTATTTAATCTTCTCCACTTCTGCTTTAAAATTTCTCTTCCTTAAAAGTTCCATTTGTCTCTCTCCATTTTTCATATTTTCACTATAAGACTAAAGGTCAGGTTGCTCTTGTTTTTTATTGTTAGCACTATTATTACATTTTAACATTTTTTTTTACTTGCTGTCTAAGAAATTTGAAGTCTTCTAATAGAAAAATAATAATAAAATTGTAAATAGATATGTGAGCCTCAAATCACTTTCTGCTATATTCAGTGTTTCTTATGATGCCTGTGGTTTTTGTATGTAGGAATATAAAATATACAAGATAAAATGAAAAGTGATATTGAATAAGAGAGCCAGGTTTTCAATTTATTTTTAATTTTTGTTTCAGCGTTGGGTGCATTTATGGAAGGGACAGAATAAAACATCTGTCAGAAGCAGTTTGTATGTAAATTAAAATGGAACTCAAAAGGATTATAAATGTATCTTATACGTAACATTTTCTATTTTCATTTATGTTGTTATTGTGCCTTTCAAAATAGCAGTTAAGGATGTTTGGAAAAACAATTAGCGAAAACACGTAACTCGGATTAGAATGTGGATAGATGATTTTTTTTTAATGAAAACAAAGGTGCGTTTTGTATGAATTTTTTCCGTTTCACACGGCTAATCAAAACCTGGGCAGTGTGAGAGCGCTGCCGCCTCGGGAAGAAGAGCCTCAGGCCGGGAGTCCGGTCCGACTCAGAGGGCTGTGTTTAGGAAAACAGTGGGTGCAGGGGTTAGGGGTGCAGCCCTGGGGCCTTAGGAAAGCCGCTGGGCCTGGGTCCTCATCTGTGGAAGAGAGACGTGGCAGCACTGCCCACCTGGAGGGCTTCGCGGGAGGTGGTGTTAGTGGCTGGGACAGTGCCTGGTACACAGTGAGGGCACAGCACACATGAGCACCCACCACCATCACGTCATCCTGATTTTGCCCTGAAACTGGTGCAGGATTTTGCCCCTAAAATCCTCCCTGGGTCTTGGTTTCCTCTCTGTACTCTGGAGAATGTATTACTCAATGCCCCTTCAGAGACTTGTTTGGGGGATTTCTAGGTGCTTACGTACATGCAAACTTCTGTATCTGGGGTGGGAAGAATGACAGAAACCTAAGTTATTACTGCGTTCTTCCTCAAAAGAATAGCAACGAAGTGGGTTACCGGATGTGCTGTCAGGACACTTAGGGTTCATAAGCACAGTCAGAACTCTGACACTGGTGAGTCTTGGAGAGAAATGAGGAAGACCAACACTCGTGGGATGGAAACTTGGAAAGTCAAGGCTAATGAAAATGCTGGTGATATTTGACCCCGATTCTCAGTGTGTTTGTACCTTGCTAATGATGTTAAACCGTGAAGCCTTGTGAGATCTTGTGTTGCAGTGTGGTTTGGCCCTAGAGCTCTTGCATGCTAACCCAGAGTAGAAGATTAGCCTGTTTGCATGCAGCCGGATGCTGCCCTGACGAGACAAGCATGTGTGGGAGGTTGACGCAGTTCACCCCCCTTGGCTGAATTCCTCCCCCGTCCTGTCTGTGGCCTCATTCGCCGTGGTACGTGTATAATACCTTCATCATCACTTTC